CCAGGGCAGCTGTTTACCAGCTCCATCTGGTACGTAGGCTGAGACCCTATCTGCCTGCAGACTGTCTCGCCAGAGTGGTGCATGCTCTGGTTATCTCCCACTTGGACTACTGCAATGCGCTCTACGTGGGGCTACCTTTGAAGGTGACCCGGAAACTACAACTAATCCAGAATGCGGCAGCTAGACTGGTGACTGGGAGCGGCCGCCGAGACCATATAACACCGGTCTTGAAAGACCTACATTGGCTCCCAGTACGTTTCCGAGCACAATTCAAAGTGTTGGTGCTGACCTTTAAAGCCCTAAACAGCCTCGGTCCAGTATATCTGAAGGAGCGTCTCCACCCCCATCGTTCTGCCCGGACACTGAGGTCCAGCTCCGAGGGCCTTCTGGCGGTTCCCTCACTGCGAGAGGCCAAGTTACAGGGAACCAGGCAGAGGGCCTTCTCGGTAGCGGAGCCCTCCCTGTGGAACGCCCTCCCATCAGATGTCAAAGCGATAAACAACTACCTGACATTCAGAAGACATCTGAAGGAAAGCACTGTTCAGGGAAGTTTTTAATATGTGACATTTTAGTGTATTTTTCATCTTTGTTGGAAGCCGCCCAGAGTGGCTGGGGAAACCCAGCCAGATGGGCGGGGTACAAATAATAAATTATTATTATTATTATTATTATTATTATTATTATTATTATTGTTATTATGTCTTAGTGGCACACTTGAGGTCAAACTGCACACTATAGGCAGCACATGACATCTTCTCTGACTTAAATTTAAAGCAGCAGCAGGAGGAGGAGGCTGCGATCTTGAGTGGAGGATCAGCAGGAAGGAGAGCAATGGCTTGTCTCCTGTCCCCCGCCCCCCCTTGGGATATTTTCCTACTCAAGATTGCTCCCCAATTGCTTTTTCTCTGGGGGGAAGGCACAGTGGGAAGAGAGATAAGTGCCTGTATCTTTCCCTGCAGAGTGAAAAGTAGGTTGTGTGCATGGGAGGGTAATCACCACCAGCACCCCAGCCAGCCCTCTGCTGAAACTTGCAGCCAGTTTTGCTTCAAAACGAAAGGAATTGCTAGAGAAAAGATACCTGCAGATATGTGAGCCAAACAGTTTGGCCCTTGGAAGATTGATTTAGGATATTGACACACAGATAATGACAGCTTCATTCTGCCTACAGGAAGGTGCTTTTCACCGAGACAAAAATCAATTAGGCTCTCCCTGTGACGAGATGTTGTTAAGGCCTTTCTGTCTCACGTTCTTCGTATCATTGTATAGACTTGCTACTAATTAGTGTGCCTGTTCTTCTACCTACTACATGAGCATTTTTCTTCAGGGATTTTGCCCTGTGCATTTATCCTCCGCCACAGCAGTAAGTAGCAGTGGTCAACCTTTATGAATACAAATACTAAAGGATGCCCTGTGGATGCAGATAAGGGAAAGATGCAAGGCTCAGCACTGCAAAAACCTTCAGCATTCATTGGCCAGGCACAACTGCACAAAGCAGATGGTGAAATGGAGAGAAGGGGAGAATCTGGATGCTCCGCTCGGATGCCTCCCTTGCGGGTCACACTTTTAATAATTGATTTATCAGCAAATTTATACCCTGTCAATGACACGACTCAAAATCTACATACTGCTCTGCATTTGAAGAAACTGCAACAACCTACGGCACCAATCCGAACTTTTAAAGGCTGTTTTGTTGAAATTGCAAGCGGCGCTCCAATTTTTTTACTCGGGTCACTCGCAGATGACTTGTTTATCGAGCATCCATCCAGATTGGCTAGCACAAAGTTTGCAGGGAGGTGTGAGCAATATCACACCAAACAATTGTTATGCCACACTTTCCAGTCATGTTTCATGCCGTAAATTAAACGTCCAGGGTGGGGAGAGCAAGTTTGTGGCGCACAAGCACCAAATTCATTTTAACTGCGTAACCTAAATTTGCTAGTATGTAATTGAATCTCACCCGCAAAATAGCAACGATCTGGAAGTGCCCTTATCCACACTTCCTCCTGTCTTGCAGCTTTCCCCTGGGAGAAACCACTCTTTAGCTCTGTGGATTGCAGTTTGCTCTGATTTAAAGCTAAAGAGCAGGTTTTCACTGGGGGAAAAGTGAGGCAAGAGGGGAACTGCTCAGATCCGTTTTTTCTAGGCATGGGATAAATGGAAGGGTGGATGAACCCTAAATTGCTGTAATGATCATCCTGGTTACCAGGATAGCAGCTTAACAGAGGCTGGGACAGTAAGAAGCTGGTTAGAAATGGCCACCTTCCACCCAAATTTTTGTTATTGTACGTATGCAAAACCATGTTCAAAATCACTTAGGTCTTCAGGTTTTCCCACTATGAATTGTTAATCTAACTGGCTTTGGTACTCCCCATAGAAGTACTGCCACATATATCACAGCAGGGATTATGATGTTATCTCCTGGGGTGCTATTTGCCAATTTTCTGCATGCAAAATAAATAAGCTTTTCTCAGAAAGGAAACTCGCCAAATAAACTAATCAGAGAAATGGGAAAGATATATTAGCAAGCATAGCTGAAAGTTAATTTGCCAGCTATATTTCCAATGATCCTGTATCAAATCTACCAAATGTACCAATCAAAATGTCGTGAATTAGCAAGCTAACTTTTCAGTCCATCCGAATGCTTCATCAGCATGGATGTTAAACAAAGAAGGAGGGTGGAGGTGCAGGGTTGGGGTGGGAAGAGAAGCTGGTTTGGGATTGAAGCCGCAGTGTCCATGTTCGCCAGAAATTCATTATGACCATAGAAGTACTTCTCATAGAAGCCTGTAAATGTGCAGGGCACTGGGGAAGAAAGGTGCCTACAGACTGGGACGCTGAGCTAAATAGAGGCCAGAATCAGTGGCGTAGCTAGCCGCTCAAGTGTCTGGGGCGATGCATGAGCCCTGCAGCTGGAAGCGGAGAGAGCCGCCCATGGGGGCAGGGCAAGCTGCCCATGGGGGCAGAGCGAGCCAAGGCAGGGCGCGCTGCATGGAGCCTCTTCACAGCCTCCCCCTATACTGCTCGAAAAAGCAGCGCGGAGCTTGCAGCCAGTCCGCCCGCTCCCCCCCCCAGGAGAGACGCGTGCCCCCCCCCGCCTCACCTAGCTACCAGTGGCATAGGAAGGGGGGTGCAGGAGTTTTTTTATAAAGTGTAGTGAGTCCAATTTTTCAAAAATTATTTTGAGAACACATATTTTTGCCATTTTGTCACCCCCTCAGAGATTACACCTGGGGCAGACCGCACCCACCACACCTCCCTTCCTATGCCACTGGCCAGAACCTGAATTTCCAGGGAATGTTCTTTTAGAGCAGCTCTTTTAGGGGAGCAGCGGAGGGCTCAATTAGTTGATGTGGTTGAAAGGAGATGGGCTGGAAGTCCAACAGAAACTTGACAAAGGAAAGTTTCACTCTCTCACCACCAAAGGAACACAAGTGAATAGCAGAGAACTTGCAGAAGCGACGCTGACACAAAATGCCACACATATTAAGTAAAATAGAAACATCGCCACCCCACCCCCACTCACCTTCCCCCCCTCCACCTCTTTCTCCCTTTTCTTCCTAATGTCTCAACAAATGAAACTGATCTGTAAAAAATGTTACCTGGAGGGGAAAAAGAGAGAGAGAGAGAGACTTTGCACATACTTTTGTAAACCAAGAAAATATTTAGTAAAAATACATTTAAAAAACAAAACAAATGAAAGTTTCAAAAAATCCTGGGTTAGGGCTTAGCCTCAGTCCTGATCCTTTTTGCTCCATTTCACTCCAATTATGTTCATTTAGCAGCACATAGCCTCTGAAAAGAGGGAAAGAACCGCTTTTCCAAACGTTAACTGCATGCATCAGTTATATTTGGACGTCACACAAAAATGCTGCTGGGTGCTGATGCTCCTATGTCTTCTTCACACAGCGTAAATGTCGGTGCCATATGGCTCCACACACTCACCATCGAAATGCCCCACTTAGGCTGTTAACAGCATCCTCCAGGCTGTTAATAGAAGCGATAATGGCAATTTCTGAAAGGGTTAATAATGTAGCCCTTTCTGAAGATCTCACGGTAGCAGACTTTACTGGTGGGTTACTGGGAATGGGTGGGTGGAAGTCTGGAAACCCGCCATACCCAAGCCATGCAGCAAAGATATGGAAAATATTGCCTAATGCAGCAGTTTAATTACAAAGAGTTTATCTCTTGATCCTGAGTTTAAGGATTTGCCTCTGGCAGATAACACAGCCAGCACGTGGGAGATGCTCAAGAGGCTAAACTCTCGCCATCAGGGAAGCGGCTTTGTCCTGTGGTCTCTGGCTTCATCACGGCTTCTGGAAGCAGTTCATGCTTCAAGAGAAGCTTGCCCTGGATATGCAGAGAGTGGGATGGGTGAATGGGGTTGTAGCCTCCTGCCTTCCGCGTCCTCCATTGATGTGATACCTAGAAAGCACACACCATTCCACACATGCATCTCCATCACTATTTTGGGCAGCCAAGTGTATTTAGTAGTGTGTGCCAAGAAATAATACTTCACGGCGGGGGGGGGGGAGCTTTTAATAGTGCAGGAGGTTATTAACTGAGCAATACGTCTGGCTCAAAGGAGAAAGTAAGGCTTCCTAATAGGAGGGGAAACAGGAGCAAAGGTTAAGTGGCTATTTCCAGCTAGCAGGAGAAAGTGAGACATTTAGGACGTAACCCTATTAGGGATGTCAGAGAATTCTGATGCAAATGGAGATGGGAGCAGAAATTCCAGATATTCACTTATTTGTCCCATAACCAAAATCAACCCAGCCAACAATCTATATATTGATATTTGCTGCTGTTGTTATTTTCATCTCCGCAAATGATATTGTTGGAGAGCGGGGGGACGGAGACTGGGCTGTATGCCTGAGTCCCCTTCTAATTCCTGGATCCAGCAAGGATTAAATTACTGGAAGAGTCAGAGCAGCTTCTTGGTGAGGCAATGGCCCCCTAAGTATGGGTTGTTAAGGAAGTGGCTTGGTACCATAAATCAAATGAGTGGGCTCTCCCAACTGAACTGGCTGGTAGTTAGGACAAAATCCAGCGTAGACCTGTGTGAGAGAGCAAGGAGCTAGAAGCCGGCTGCAGGCAGAGGACTGTGAGAGAGATGTGATTGATTTCTGCTGTAATCCAAGGCTGTGTCTATGGGAGAAGCAAGACCCTCCTGTGAGCCCTTCCATCTTAGGTTCGGGTTGCATATATGTGTGAATAAGCCATATACCATAAAGACCCCACAGTCTCCACTGGGCCTCATTTCCAAAAGAAACATGAACCCTGGGTAAGTGTCTGGAATATCACACAGCTTGGAGACTGAGGTGGCGTGCAACAATATGGTTTATGTTGTTCCTTTTTACCAATTTACATTGTGTTTCTTTTGTATTGAAATGCATGGTGTTGTATAATATAACTGTACATAACTTTTCACCCGAGCGGACGGCTAGACAAATAACATTGTTTTTGTCAGAAGCCAAACTGCAGGTGAAATGAAACAGAGGTGCTTGCAAAGAATATGGGGCAGAATGGAAACTGATGCCTTCTTACACCCCTAAATCTATATCTGTGGGGTGAAGGGATACAGGATTCCGTAGAAGTTCCACTACATTGGCAGAATCCCAGCTGGGGCTTCTTCTGCAGCCCCTATGCTCCTGGTGTGTATAATTGGGTGTTGGGACTCAGGAGCAGAGAGAGATGTTTGCCCCATGCTGTGTGTGAGGATTGGCTTCTGTGGGCTGATGAGGAGTTACAGAATATAACTTGTCTGACGGCAGGGTGAAAAGGTCTGAAGTGGAATAGCAGAGGAAAGGTAGAAGAAGCAGAGGCCTTGAAAAAGAGAAGCACGTTGTTCAATGGGCACCCACAAGATTTATAAAAAGCAGGTGCTGTTTGCAAGCAAAGGGAGCTTTGAAAACTGGGATTGTCAGAATTAGAGCCAAGAGGAGACATACGTAAGTGTTGAGTGTAAAGTAGGAGACTGCATTTCACTTATTCAATTATTCAATTAATCACAGCTTTAGCTGCAAGTCGTTAGCTGGATATTTATGATCTAGCCCTGGTGCTGAAGGATTATATATTATTTAAGGCAGATTTGGGGTTGGTCAAAAGCAGCATGTTCATTATTCACATCCAGCAAATGATGGCTTGCACCAAGCTGTTTTCTCACACATTCGTGCCTGTATTATTCCCAGCAGAGGTGTGAGACTTCAAGCAACAGCAAATGAAAGTATTTTGCTCAGATGGAAGAGGAAGCCGATGTTGCCATTATGGGGTTGGTTGGTGGGTGGGTGGGGAGGGGAGGGGAAGAAAGGGGATGAACCAGGAGTGCACCAATACAAAATCCTGATTCTCTGCCCCACACAACTGGAAACTTGTCTCATTTTATTCTCCCTCGGGGTACTACAGGACCCAGGGAGCAGCTGGCCTGAGCTGCTTTCAAATATTCTGGCAAGATAGTAAGAATGAGCAGATGGCCTTACATACTCTTTCCACGCCTGACCCTGAATATGACTTAGTGAGTTCTCTATAATTCATGTCCTTAACTGTTTTCCTTCAAACGTTAAGATTTTCCTCTCCTTTGATAAAAAAAACTTGCTGTGGCCATTCACCCTTATCCTAACCACGTTTATTCAGGAGTACATCTCAGTTTGATTCCAGTGGGATTTACTCTCAGGTAACTATGCTTGGGATTGTAGCCTTTGTAGCATAAAAGTCCAACCCCCAAACAAAACAAAAAACCAGCCTTTGTGCTCAGCTCTTCTAAAGCCTGATGCCTCACTGTTAAGGCTTAACTGTGCTCTTTGGTATTGTTGCTATGGTAACCCAACAGTTTATCCCTCACTTCCAAATATATTCACACAGTTCTTGTTAAACACTCCCCCCTCCCTTGCAATTCTCTATTGGAATCCAATTATCTTGCATTAATTCTAAATCAAATTCAGAGCAGCACAAACACCCATAACACGTGTGTAAATGATTATTTTTATAATACTGTTAGCGCCACATGCACATATATATTCTGTGCCTTTGAACATGCAAGAAAGAAGCTGTTTTCTGGTAAGAACCTGATACCAGGCTGTTTTGTTTTTGGCTTAGCTGGGTAAAATGCAATACTGCTGAAAGCTGCTGGCCTTGCAGACTCGAATTCCCAGCATCTCTTTCAATCCATAAAACAGGCACCCCAGTTGGATTCCTCCCCTGTATGACTTTGACAAAGTACACGTTCAGGATCCTGCCTTAACTGGGGATGTCAGTCTCCGCAGTATATTTTCTAGCGCTCCCATCAGACAGGATAGTTTGAATTTGCTATCATAAAACGTAGAAATGTCACTTATTGGCAGTTAAATATTAAGCAGGGTAAAAACAAAACACAAACACCTGAAACGAAAAGGAACCGTACCAAAACTAAAACAAGTAAACAAGCAAAAACCTGATTTGACAAGGCATTGCCATAAGAGAGCTCCACTCTGTGCTTGGAAGGATTAAAGCAACAAAGCTCTTGGCATAGAGGTGACATCTGTATATGAATTCGTAGTGGTACTTTATGGAACTGTCTGATCAATAGGAATATATGGGTGCAAGTGGTTCACTGACCTCGGCCTACAGGAGTAGTCAGTGTCCTCCTGCTGAGCAGCCCATTTTGATCACAAGTCCATGGTTGGCCCCCCACATACCCCTATGTGACCGATCCTCTCCCTCGACTGCATAGGAGCACATCCGAAAGCTCTGCCATTCTGAGACCTATATTTTTATATTGTACAAGAGGTACACATATGGGACAGCGTTTTGGCTGGTTGACATCTGATGACCTTTTAAATGTTTTGTGGCATTATTTGTTTGTTTTTATCATGTATTTTGTCTTTTTTATATTTGTGAACCGCTCTGAGAATCTATAGGACAGTATACAAATTAAACCAACCAACATACTTTATACATGTTTGTTAACATCTACACCCATGCCACAGTTAAGAACCCAACATGTAAAATAATAAAAAGTGTATGTATCCTTATGTCTCAATTTCTAAGTGCATATTGCTATTATTGGGTGTCCTTGGAATTTACCATGAACTTACCCTGTCCTTAATCTGAAACCCAATGCCCATTCCTATTTCCAGGCATGGCATTGAGATAGTTTTACTGACAAAGCCCCATTCAGCTGAGTTTTGTGTTTCGGATCTTCAGATGGAGTGAAGAGAAGCTTTGCTCCAGAGATTGTATGTTGCCTCTTTAGACAGGAAGGCAGCAAGAAGGAACTTTGACCACAAACCTATATCTGCATCTGATATCACCAGGTAAGATGCAACTTACCTGCCTGTTACATCAGGTACACTTCACTTTTATGTTCTTTATGCTAAAAAAGAAAGAGGTCCTTTTGGCCAATTAAAAGGTTGCATTCTGCTCAGGTCATGAAAAGGCACCACCAGAAGGCATACACTGAACTGGGTACAGAACTTCAAATGACACAGCACCTGTGTCATGCTCATTGGTGTGAATGGAAGATAGTGGGATCTACACACAGAACAGAGAATATGTGATGCTCACAAACCTGTGGAAAGTCCGTTTCAAATTTTATTTGTAGCTTACAGCAGAAGAGCAATGGTTGGGTAGCACCAGGAGCCACTTGACAAGGTGTCAGGTGGGGAAAAAACATTGGAAATATATCTAAGGCTCCTTAAATGTTGTTATAGGACTAAATATACTAAGGTATTGATTTAACATGGAAAAAGAGTTCAGAGAGCTAGACAGCTGGAAACAGTAGCAAGGTAATGATGACCTTTGGGGTTTGGTTTTCCCAGCTAATGTTTCCTTCACAGCTAAAAATTGAGGACAGAATAGCAACGGAGGAGAATCTATGCATGGAATCAATACAAGATTCTAGAGAACAAGAGATAAACAGAGAGCTGAGCTCCAGGCCACAGATGAGACCCATTAAGTATGACAGACAGCAATGCATGGATAAATGAGTGCTTTTAACACACACACACACACACACACACACACACACACACACACACACACGAAGGCACGCACGCACACAAAACACACTGAAGGAACTTCCCCAGAGATTCCACATTCTCTCATGAACTGAAAAGCATTCTGCTAAAAATGATCATTCCAACAGCCTCTGCTGGGTTGCGGGGGTGGGGGTGGGATTTGTTACAACAATGTCAAAAATGGGGAGTGGGATACACCTGAATGGCCAAAAAAGTCTCAGGTCCCAATGCAAACAAATAATAAATTGTGAATATATCATCTTCTTTAAATTATAAGAAAGGAACGCACCTAAAAGCAAATATGAAATCTGATTTCAGATAAAATTATATCTAATACCATCATATCTAATGACACGCAATTGTGTCAAACGATAGGTAAGGAAAGGGTCACAGGGACAAGAACAACTTTGTATAGTTTGGCTGTGTGTATTGAGATGTTTCGGCAATGCTGTAACAAGTGGGCTACATAGCAGCATTTGTCTTCTAATTGTTGCTTTGTTGCTTTATTAATTTATTGAATTATCTAATTCCAGAAAGCTGGATTTTTGTACATTTCCATCCCATGTGGAGATATGTACTGGGTATGGTATAGCCCCTCCAGCAAGGTGGTGAGGCACCAGGATGGATCATTGCCAGCTTGTAACTGCCAGACCATCTCTCTTAATCCAATCAACCCCAAGGCTTGCTGTCATCCAGTCAGAACCTAAGTGGGCATTTGCAGTAAGGACATAACAAGGAACTGCAAGCAGCTGGAGAAGCAGCAGCACAGGAAGGCCATTTTAGCTGGATGTTCTGGGAACTATGCTGCAGAGAAAAGCAGAGCCCTCAGGGTATCCTGGCACCCACAGGCACCATGCTGGTTGTGCCAGGATTAAAGTTCCTCCATTTCCATGCTGATTGAAATTGTGCCTTAGATGGACGTGCCTATTCAAATTCTGTACTTGTCTGCATTACTGTTTCAGGAATGTCTTAATTTCTATGCTAACTGATGTGCACCAGCAAGAATATATTCTAGTCTCCGTGACAGTTTTAGGACTTGGGAACCTCTGGTTTGCAAGGAAGCTAAGAGCCCTGTACAGCAGACCCGCCAGGGATAGTCCCAGATTTATAGAGTCTGGCCTGGTTTTTTATATGATCCTGGAATGTCTCACTTTTCCTCTCTATTTTCATCAGAGAAATATTGGAGGGAGACAAATATATATATATAATTTTTTGTCCAGAGACAAAAAAATGACAAGGCCAGTTTTAAAAATCTGACTTACATCCATTCTGACTTGTAACTTTATTCCTCAAAATTCTTCTGAGGCTTTAGACACACATTTTTATGATGTAGCCAGCACAGTCTATTTTGGAAAATTCCAGTCCCCTTACCGAAGGCCACATCACCAGTCTGTCTAGTGACAAACATGGAGCCAGAGTCGCCTCCAAGAGCTCTTCTCTGTCCTTTACCAGGCTTGGAACCCTGGGCTGAATGAAAGAGGAGTCCTGATTTAGAATAGTGAGAGGAACAGCACAGTCTTTCTGCTCTCTGACTGATAATGAGCCTGGCACATTCTTCCTTGTGAAAATCAAGAGAGATACATTTTAAACTATTAATGAGAGCAGAAAACAAATCTCTGAAAGAAATGCACATTCTTTGCATACAGCTTTTAGAGTGATGTTTCAATATCATTGCCACCACATTCTTATGAGTAAACATGGTAACAGCTGGTAGGACGTCCACACAAAGAGAAGCTTCTGGGGCTCTGTTGCCACTCAACTCTAGCAGACTTTTTGAAGTCCCTTCCACCCAGGCCGAATGAATGGTAGGAAACCTCAGGGAGCAGCTTAAAGATTCTCCAAAAATTTGCAGCTTCTTGAGTTTACTGGTAGTTCATCAGAAGGGACTTTTCAGCTCACAGACATGAATGCTGGGCATTGTGTAGGGTTTTTTAAAATAAATAAATTGCAGCAACTTTGATTTTCACTTTGCATCACGTCACTGCACCGTGGTGCAAGTAGACACTACTTAACACTGTCCAAGCTTACCAAAGGCAGATGTGTATACTAAAATAGCTGACAGCTATGATGATTCATAGAAGTAAGCCCCCATTGAAGTCAAGGGGGTCTACTTCAACAAAATGTAATGCAGCGGAATAATGTCAAGGTAAAAACCTGGTAAATATTTATTATTGATGGCAACTATGACCTGGAAAAACTGTCTGCGGAGTGGACAAATGGCAGCTCCCTCGGCCTGTAAAGCGAGATGAGCACCACAACCCCAGAGTCGTTCGCAACTGGACTTAATTGTCAGGGATCCCTTTACCTTTACCAAAAGCAGAACCATTTGAGGACCTAGAAAAGGTCAGGTATACCTCCAATGTCCCTTGATAGGTTGTGGACTCTCCTTCACTGGAGGTTTTTAAGCAGAGGTTGGATGGTCATCTGTCCTGGATGCTTTAGCTGAGATTCCTGCATTGCAGGGGCTTGGACTAGATGACCCTTGGGGTCCCTTTTGACTCAACAATTCTATGATTCTATCTGACCACCATAGTTTAAATTCAGCCTCCATTGCTTCATTTGTTATTTCCTTAAGTTTGTCTCTTCCTTTCCTCTCCAGCGCAAGTTCCTGAAGTAGCTGAGACTCAGAACGCCCTGGCCTTTCAAAGCAGTAACTGAAATAATTGGTTACATAAAGTGAATTAAGTCACAGCTGACTAGTGAAGAGTTCAACTTAAAGAAGAGGAACTTCAACAGACAGAATGGGGCCACTGTATGACCTGAACAGAGAGTGCAGCCTGTAGGACTGGGATGCTTTCAGCACTACCAACAGAGCGCTAAAACACCGACTCATAAATATCACTAGCCTCAGTGTGCAAAAGTATCTCACACTACTTTTGCAGCCTGAACCCTATGCATCTGGTGCAACAAACAGATTACAACAGGGAACAGTTCCATTACTTTTTGTAACAGCCCTATAAAAGGCCTGCAGGGGGTGGAAGGGGCTAAAATTGGGGTGGAGGAGTCAGCAAGTGCCATTTGCAAGATCTCATTAAGGGCCTTTGAGCATTACATTCATTTGCATGGGATTGCAGCCTTGACACCAAGGGGTTATTCTCATTGTAACTCCATGGGCAGGTTGATGGACTTCTCTGTAAAAGCAAAAGCAAAATTAAGTCCAGATCTAAGAAGAGTCCAATGCCATTAGTATGTTACATACTTACGGATCTTCCCAAATGGTCCTGGCACCAACTGAAATAAATGCTGGATTGCACCAATTTAGTTTTATGACTTTATGCTGCCAAACATATGGCAAGGAGTAACACCAGTATCCTGTGACAATCACTAATTAGAAGGCACGTTCGTTTTTAAATGTGTTCGCACGCTGGCATATGCTAAAAACAAATCTTGCTGAGAATAGGTAACAATTAGTTGTGTTTCTGTCAGCGTCTATGAAATACATGGCCTGGCTGGCCTGGCTGATCCACTGGGATCCCTTCCAGATCTGGTTCTGTGACTAGGGCCCTCATTATGAATTATTCTGGGACAAGACCCCTTAAGGCCTGACCATAGACAATGGATAGCCTAGGACAGGGTGGTGAGTCCCAGATAGATAGATAGATAGATAGATAGATAGATAGATAGATAGATGCACAGCATGGAAATGTGGGAGAACCTGGGGCCAGGGTGTGTGTGAGAGAATCTGACCCCTGAAATCCCATCCAGGGAAGATCCAAGGGCACAGAACAGGAGTCAAATTGGCCCTCAAACAATCCTCGTCACGTCCCATCCCTCCCATGTAGCTGCAGTCCGGACTATCCCTCTTCTTGTACATCCTGGAGGGGATGGAGGGAAGAGGCAGAAAGTCACAGATCCAAGGTCCCCTTTCCTTATCTGTGTGTGTGTTTTGGATGTGAGAGATGTTAGAGGTGGAGGAAATAATAATGCACAACACCCAGCTTTATATGTCTTCTTTGAGACTCCAACCACTTTTGGGTAAAGGTAAAGGGACCCCTGACCATTAGGTCCAGTCGTGACCGAATCTGGGGTTGCGGTGCTCATCTCGCTTTATTGGCTGAGGGAGCCGGCGTACAGCTTCTGGGTCATGTGGCCAGCATGACTAAGCCGCTTCTGGTGAAAACCAGAGCAGCGCACGGAAACACCATTTACCTTCCCGCGGAAGTGGTACCTATTTATCTACTTGCACTTTGATGTGCTTTTGAACTGCTAGGTTGGCAGGAGCTTGGACCGAGCAATGGGAGCTCACCCTGTCACAGGGATTCAAACCGCCGACCTTCTGATCGGCAAGCCCTAGGCTCTGTGGTTTAACCCACAGCGCCACCCGCGTTCCACTTTTGGGTAGGGAGGTGCAATAGTAACATTGCCAGCAGGGTGTTCTTGGGCTATGATTTTTACAACAAATCACAGCGTATAGCTTTTCATTTGGACTGTTGCTGCATCACAGCACCATTAAAATCTCATGCGTTTTTCCCCTGAAAGGACTTTGGCAAAATGACCCTGTTTGCTCCCAGCAGAGGTATTTCTATCTGACAGCTTTCAAAGATATTTTGATTTGCCCCATCAACTCCCGGCTTTCTAAAGCATTCAGCAACCCCACCCCTCCATTCCCATTTGCCATCACTCACACAGTACTTCTCTTCCCTGTGGCAAGTGCACAGCCAAGACTCTTAAGGAAACACAATGAATAGGAAAAGGCTTCTTTCTTATTGCCAATTGCTCCCCTATTGACTCCCAGGCCTAAAGGCAGCTTCTTCTTCTCCACTAGTTCTTTTGTAGCAGCTAGGAAGGCAGTCTATGCAGCTCTTCATGTTCTAAACATTTGCTTTGTAAACATGCATGTGTTGTTGTCTTTTATGTACCAAGGAGAAGACGTGGAAGCATCTGGAACCAGAAGGCAGAAGTCAACCGTCTACAGAGCTGCCGTTCATGACTCTGGTTTCTTTGGGATAGACCCACACCCTACTTACAAGCCAATAAAAGCCTCACAGGTCAACTAGAAGCTCCATGAAGACACAGACCTTGGAACTTTTAGGCCATCCTATGCACTGAAGAGATACTAAAATAAAAATTAAAAATCCAACTTTCTACTACCTTGAAATCTGGAGCTAGTCTCTTATTCGAGGCTCAAAGAAATCCCACAGTTATGGGTCTCTGTTCAGATAATGAGTCTTGATCCGGTCTTTTCTAACAATGATGCATTACCTTGCTTCATATATTACATGGGTAGGCAAACTAAGGCCTATGGGCCGGATGCGGCCCAATCACCTTCTAAATCTGGCCCACGGACGGTCCAGGAATCAGTGTGTTTTTACATGAGTAGAATGTGTCCTTTTATTTAAAATGCATCTCTGGGTTATTTGTGGGGCATAGGAATTTGTTCATTTTTTTCCCCAAAATATAGTCCGGCCCACCACAAGGTCTGAGGGACAGTGGACAGTTGAAAAAGTTTGCTGACCCCTGATTACCTTGCCATCAAAGTCCAACAGGTGAGATGGGAGTCCAAGTGTATTGTGCCAACAATCTCAGATATACCGTATTCAAGTGAATAATGGGGGATTACCAGAATTCCAACATGACTGTATTTTCCATCTGAAAATAGCATTAGGGAAAGGAAAGCTTAGGGGAAACACTGCACGAAAACAACACAGCACCATTTTTCATGGATAAATCAGACAACTTTTAATTCATTTCCAAATACTTGGTGAGATTATTAGCTTTACATACGGCAATATCACACCAGGATCAACTGAGCCACTCTGTTCTTGACAATACTGTTACTTCATTTGTCACAAAATAAACACTGTACGGTAAAAACCTACGCTCCTGAGTATACCTTGGTTGGGCTGATATTAAATAATTCCACATTTACTCTAGAAACAGAGGAAGTTGTCTTATACTGAGGCTGGATCTAGACATGTCAAAGAAGAGATTCAGTTAAACGCGTTGCAAACTCATACAGGGGAATCGGGGAGGGAAAGATGGGACTCCACAGTGCCATCTGGTGTCACAGGGTTATATAACACTTTTTCTTTACCAATCTAGCTGAGTCCAGTCGGCTTTCATCCATCTTACTCAGTAGATGGCAGTGAATCTCCAGGCAGCCCTACTTGGACCTATCCTGGGGAAAACATGTGCTACACCATGGGTAGGCAAACTAAGGCCCGTGGGCCTGATGTGGCCCAATTGCCTTCTAAATCTGGCCCGCAGACAGTCTGGGATTCAGCATGTTTTTACATGAGTAGAATGTGTCCTTTTATTTAAAATGCATCTCTGGGTTATTTGTGGGGCATAGGAATTTGTTCATTTCCCCTCCTCCAAATTTTAGTCCGGCCCCCCACAAGGTCTGAGGGACAGTGGACTGGCCCCCTGCTGAAAAGGTTTGCTGACCCCTGTGCTATACCATGGAGCCATGACTCTTTATTCCCCTCTTAGATGCTATAAATGATTTGCCCATGTCCCCCATTCCAGATGTTAAAACTGAAAATGAATGCATGTCTTTTCATAAGTGCCGCAATTCGGGAGACGGTTACATTGCTTGGTTTCCTTTGCCATTAGGCAATAAGCCAAAGGAAAGTGGAATCAAAACGGTGAAACTGTTGCAGAACCTAAGTTCCCAAATAGAGGTGTGTGTGTGCGTGCGCATGTCATTCATGTAATCTGAAAACTAAACCAGACCAAACAAAGAATGTCTCAAATATTAATGGTCCAGGTTAGATTTCGGGACCATGTGTGGTGTAGGGAGCCAGTGTGGTATAGTGGTTAAGAGCGGTAGACTCGTAATCTGGTGAACAGGGTTCGCGTCTCCGCTCCTCCACATGCAGCTGCTGGGTGACCTTGGGCCAGTCACACTTCTCTGAAGTCTCTCAGCCCCACTCACCTCACAGAGTGTTTGTTGTGGGGGAGGAAGGGAAAGGAGAATGTTAGCCGCTTTGAGACTCCTTGTTCACAGTAACTGCACTTTGGCATGACCTTGAAACTACTTTGTGTTTTGTGAACTGCCCTGAGATATTGTGACAAAGGGGCAGCCTACAAAAACCAATGAATAAATATAAAATAAATAAACTAAGTAAACGGGTCATCATGGACCACAGCTGACCTTCAAACCAGAACCCAGTTGCTTTCTAATTAGGGTTAGCGGTAATCACAGTTACTGCAAACCAGGAAACATAAGAGGGAATGGCTGTGGGTGGAGGGAGGAGCAAGGAGGGACAAACAGCATTCAAGCAGGCCTGGGGCTCAGGACCCGAATGTTGGACAGACAGACAAAAGGATATGGGGCGTATGAGAGTACAAAGGTAAATTTGCATTTATTGCTCCTCCTACTTTTGCCTCTGGCCCCGGCTACCACAAATGCAGCTCTCAGGTTGAAAAAGATGCCCTCCCCCTGATGTATAATACCTTAGTAGACTGGACACATGTTCTATTTCAAGTAAGGATGAGCTTGGGGGGAAATAACATCTCACACAGGTGAGAAACAATGGAAGGGTGCAGAATTGGACAAATTGACTGGGAAGATTCGATACCAGAAAGACCAAAAGTTTATCGAGGACTGGGGGAAATTTACAGAATATCTGAAAAATATATGTGATGTACAGACAACGCTTGTTGGTTTTGAAGAGACTCTGTGAAATAGTAAGAAATACTGCAAAAAAGAGAGTAAGAGGAAAAGGAGTGGGGAAAGGCAATATTATGTTTAGAAATGCGTCAATAAATAAAAATTTTTCGAAAGATTGACAGAGAAACTGAGGTAAGTCAAAAATTGAAGCATGAGTGTAAAACAATTTGTTGATTGTATAAAACTTGTTTGGAAAATGAATAAAAATTATTTATATAAAAAAAAAGAGAAACAATGGAAGGGAAGGGAAATCCCTCACAGGTATTGAGGTGACTGTGTTTCTTGGTTCTTATGGAACAACTCCACCTGTTATTTATTAGTTACTAATTCACAGCTGGAAACAGCGTGGGAAAGTGGTCAGACTAGGGCCTGGACCAGTCCCTGCCTACCTTAGGGGCTGTTGTGGGGATTAAACGAGTAGAGGGGAAGAACCATGAGCTCTTGGGAGGGAAAGGTGGGTTATAAATGAAACCAAGTCTGTCTTGTGGCAATTGCATTGCTACCAAGGGCCACTAGAGGGAGCCCATGCTCCTCCAATACAATAACTCGATAGTAACTTGTGGCTGGGATTGACTTAATTCAGAATCATAGAATTGAGGAGTTGATAGGGACACTGAGGGTCATCTAGTCCAACCCCCTCAATGCAGAAATCTCAACTAAAGCATCCATGACAGGTGGATATACAACCGCTGCTTAAAAACCTGCAAGGAAGGAGAGCCCACCGCCTTCCAATGTAGTCTGTTCCACTGTCAAACAGCTGCTATTATCTTCCCCTAGACCAGTGGTTCCCAACCTTTTCTTGGCCATGCCCCACCTAAGCATCTCTTAAATCCTGATTCCACCCCCCCGTGACATATAATTCTTATTATTCAAAAAGTGAACCCCTATTCATGTGGAGAAAGCCTAAAAGGCTATTAATGATTAATAACTCATTTTTGAATTGCCCCCCTTAAAAATCAATTTGGGAACCATGGCCCTAGACCCTCCATTTTTATTTTTTACTTTTGTTAGATAAGGAAACAAGGAAACTATTGATGTTTGTGTCAGCAAGCTTTTGGGTCAGGCCTCCTTGCAGAACGCGGTACTGCCATGCTGCGTATGCATTCCTAGCCACAGACACCAACAGCATTAGTGCAAGCTGAGGCCAGTGGTTGTGCAACTCAGTCACCACAATTGACCGCTGGCTGCACACAAGCCACTAAAACTTTTGAAAGGGCATAATCAAAGGCATTTTTCACTATCTTTGAGCAAAGTTTCTGTAAAAAGCCAGTGGCAATTACTTACATACTTACTTATTTTTTCTTCCAAGTAGCTCAAGGTGGTGTGACATGGTTCTCCTCCTCCCCGTTTCATAATCATAACCACCCTGTGAGGTAGGTTAGGCTAAGAGATGGTGGCTGGCTGGCCTAGTGAGCTTCCCGGCTGAGTGGGGATCCAGACTCTGGTCTCCCAGGTCATAGGTCCAACACTCTAACCATTACACCATACTGGCTCCATACAGGAATGGAATCCAGAATTTGGCTTGCCTTCGACTTCTTGCATGTGCAGATGAGTTTGACACACCAAGGAGACTTCTCCCCACTACCACACTTCTCTGTCTTCAAGAAAGAAAGAAATCCAGGAGGCATTTAACGGTTTAGCAGCACAACATTATGAAAAGAGATTTATGAAAGGGCAAAGTCATGTTACAACCATCTGCCTAGGCTGACTTGCCTGATAGCTGGTGGCTACTCCAAGGCGCTGGGATGTGCAGGCCTCACCGACAGCAAAGTGTGTTCAGATGCTAATACTGTGTGCTTATTGAGGAAAGCCAGGAGGGGAGGGAGCCACCTGAATTTGGGCAATAAATAAGACAAGGTAAATTTTGCCGCTGGCTAGCAAGAAGCAGCCTTGGGAAAGCTACAAAGGTATCCTATTGTTTTAAATAGCTTCAAAAGTGTAGCAATGTCTATCTGCTGCCGCCACCCTGCCCTGCTTGTGAATTTGTAAACAAACCCCATAAAAAGCCTGTTAAGTCCTCAGACCTCTTGCCTTGCAAGAGAACCAACTCTGTGGAGGGCTGCCCTTGAAATGTCCTGTCACTCTGAGGAAGTGGGAAGCACAAAAATGGTATACTAGAAACATGTAGTTTTTGCAGCCAAAGCAGAATAAATACAGATAACTGTCTCCTAAGTAGCCACCCTATGCTTAGGGGAACTGCCTGCACATAAGCTGAGGAGCGTTTTGGTCATACTTGCATATTCAACCAGAAACCCAAGGAAGCAGAATAGGAATATCATTCCTCTCACCACAATGACAAAAAGACTCTCCTCTTGTGTAACTGGAGATCAAACTAGTCCCCTAGTCTGAAAGGTTTAGCCAAACATTCTTTAAGAGTAAGCTGTGGTTTTGATTTGAGGCAAACTATGGAGTATTGACAAAGCACATCTAACTGGGAGTCTCAGCTGATGGGACGGGGCAGCTGGCAGACAAGTCATAACATGCTTGGCAAAACAGCTCCTCTCCCCTCAGGAATGGCGGCAAACCACAACCTCCACCAATGGAGAGTGTTCTAGTCACCGCCCATCATTCCCTCAGAAAGAGCGCACTGCCAGCTGGCATCTCAATTCCGCCTCCTCGTCGCAACAATTTGGTTTTTGGCCGAGTGGAATGGTGGCAAGCTGAGTTCGGTCTCTCCCTCCCAAGAGAAGGAGCAAAAGTTCACTTTTTGTTGCCTGAGGAGGAGCTCTGGCGTGATATCATGATCTGATAGATGGTCTCCCGGAAGTGCTGGTCCTGAGTCAGCCTCTTGGCCGCTTGCTTCAGGTCTTCTATGCTCTCGGCCTCCGAATACATGAACGACTGGGACTGCCGCACTGAAAATGAAAACAGCACACAACACTTAGTGCTGGTAGAGAGCCACACCAGGTGAGGAATGGGGTTGTTGAATCTGGAAGCTATTATGATAAAGTTTGACCTAGGTGGTGTTTAGCAGAAATGACTGAGGGCTCGTCCACACAACTGCTTGTCCTGCCACTTTCCCCCGGGGTAAACCTGCTGTTTACTGCTGAATCAGAACAAACATCAATCGGTTTTTCTGAAGACTGGAAAATTTGTTCCAATTCATTTGTAAGCAGTGGGTTTTCCTGGGAAAAGCAGTGGGACACACGAAAAACTGCTCAGACACATGCCTAGGAAGCCCAAGACAAGCAGAAAACCTCTTGGACTGATGCTTTCTAGGCAAGGGACAAGAGGAAGTGTGGCCTTGAGACCTCATTGTATGCACATAATTCAGTGCAAAGGCCAAAGAAGAAAGGTCAACTCACTCAGCCACAGGGGCTCACAGGCCCATCAGAGCCAGAGCGTGATGTGTACGTCACAGAGCATGAAAGGGAAAGGGGTGTCAGAGCTGGTCTTAGCAAAAGGCAGGGCTCCTGCAAAACCTGCACTTGGCACCCCACAACGCAATCCCACAGGCCATAGGAGAATATGGGGAATAGCACCTACAATCAAGCCAGGAGTTGCTGGATCTCCTGCGATGGAAACGGCAGCTTTTTATCCTGCGAGTGGCCGCCTTGTGGAGGTACACAGAGTTCTTCATGATCACAGGCATCTTGGCTTCCAATTCAGCATTTCGGATGCACTCTTCAAAGAATTCTGCAGGGAAGAGACACCCAAGGGAGCCAGTTAATATGTGCCTTAGGCAGCCTCAGTTCAGGCGGATGTAGCATTTTGGAAAATCTCCTTGAGGAGATTCAGTTCTGGCTGACTAGGATTAACAGTAGGCTTCTGCTTTCAGGTGTTCATCTGGATTTTTGGGGTGATGGCACCGGACGTGTTGGGGAAGGCAAGATAAATTATGGCTTGCTTACTTTTCAGATTGCTGACGTCGGCTTTCATTTTTTCCTCCTTCTCTTTGTTACGGTGCTTGCAGTTCAGGCCTTGCTCCAGGCTCTGCAGGGCCTCCTCAGCCTCCTGTAAACGCTTCTCCAGGTCCATGCGAACCTTCACCTCTGCCTGAGCAGGAAGGAAATCAGGCAGCCCTCAACCAACCAATAAAAATAACCCAGGGAAAGAAACAAAACACCAAAAGACAAAACGTAAGCAAGGACTTCCTTCCTTCCTTCCTTCCTTCCTTCCTTCCTTCCTTCCTTTTGCTCTCTCTCTCTCTCTCTCTTTCCTTGTCTTCTTCTAAGGCACATCCGGGAACTTGTATGCATAATTTCAGACATAATTTATTTAATTATGGTATGGATTGTATTACAGTGGTACCTTGGGTTAAGTACTTAATTTGTTCCGGAGGTCCGTTCTTAACCTGAAACTGTTCTTAACCTGAAGCACCACTTTAGCTAATGGGGCCTCCTGCTGTTGCTGTGCCACCGGAGCACGATTTCTGTTCTCATCCTGAAGCAAAGTTCTTAACCTGAGGTACTATTTCTGAGTTAGCGGAGTCTGTAACCTTAAGCATATGTAACCTGAAGCATATGTAACCCGAGGTACCACTGTATATAGGTTGTTCATCTAGGATATGTATTTATCTATTTAAAAGATGTTTTTTGGGCCATGCCAGTCAACATTCTGTGTGAAAGTACTGGGAGGAACGCAATTGTGAGAGACCTTTGAGGAAAGAGGAGTGTCCTTCATAACGTTTGGTGCCCTGGGGTAGGTTACTTGGCTCCCAATGTATACCTTTCTTTTATATTGCTTTTATTGTGAAGTTCATGTGTTATGTGTGTAGGAATAGGCCATATAACTTTTTGAACAAAGAATATACCTTCAGCTGTTGGCAAGAGAGAGCGAAGGATAAAGAGATTGTTTGCTGAGCCTAAAGCAGAAGCCAAATTGGTGTACAACTCTATGCTATCAGTAGAGATGGGTGAATCAGTCAATTTCAGTTTCTCTCAGTTTCTCATTTTTCCAATCTTAAGTACAATTATGCACATTTCCACATTAGCTGGTGATATATATATATTTAAAAAGTCCTCATGAACATTTATCAGCATTTAAGTACAAATTTCTGCCAATATAAAGGTTTGTATACAATTTTGTCCAATATATGCATATTTGCAAAGCAATTCTCCCAAATATAATGCATTTTTAATGTCATTTTCACTAATATATGCATTTTGCTTTGGCTCAATATATGCATTTTTGTCACATTACTTGGGATTGCAACATTCAGGGAAGTGTAATTTCTCTGAATGGCTCACAGGATGGCTGTGTTCCAGTTCTCGTATGGTTTGGGAAAGGGCAAATTAGGTAGACTCCCCTTTAATTGCAAGCTGAATCAGATCGAACTGAATCCCCAGCTATCAGTACCTTGAGATCTCGCTCGGTTTGCTGCTTCTCAGCGGTCAGCTCTGAGAGCGAATTCTGCAAGGCCTGCGACTGGGAAGAGTAGAACTCCCGCTCCTCCTCCAGAGCTCGGGAGCGTTCTTCATTCTCCTTCATCCTGCAAAGCAGCACCAGAGACACATTCAGCCGTTGTCCCCATTCCTCTGCCTCTTTTGTGTTTCTAGAGTTGCCAGGTTGCAACCCCCAGATTGACTCTATACCTTTAAATCCTTCCACACGACAGAAGTGGCTCCTCTTTGGCCCATTCCCTCCTCTGCCCCCATTTTCCCACTCCCTCTCCTGCCTGTGGGATGACACAAGATCGCAGGAGCCACAGAGTCAAGAGAGGAATGGATACAAAAAGCCACAGATGCCAAGTCGCCCGCTTCTTTCAACCATCAACCAGGTTGCAAACAGGGAATCCTGTCTGTTTGGAAGACTCTCCTCCCCACCCCATCCCTCACCTTTTCTCAGCCAGGAGTTTCTCCTCCAGCAGCTGGTGCATTTTCTCCTCGATCTGGTGCAAGCTGCTCTGCAGACCCCCGGCAGCATCAGGTTGCTCACAGCTCGGGCTGGTCGGGGGCTGCAACTCGCTCTGGTTCTCTTCCAGCATTTCCAGAGTCCGTTGCTTTTCCAGGGAGAGCGCCTTCAAGCCACACAAACAGGTTGGATTGGTTACCCCTTACTTTCTGTTCACATAGGGGGCTCGTCCACACTTCCTCTTTCCCTGCCACTCTCCCCTGGGGAAACCTGCTCTTTACCGCTGAATCGGGGCAAACATCAATTGGGTTTTCCATGGATGGATGTTTTCTCTGATTCAGCAGGAATGAGCAGGTTTTCCTGGGGAAAGTGGCAGGGCATATGGAAAACCACTTGAACCTGTGTCTAAAAAGCACGGGGCAAGCAGAGAACCAATTGCTTGCTAGGAATGGGACAAGCCAAGTGTGGATGAGCCTTTAGTTGCAGTATGAAAAGTAGAGTCGCTACATTTCCCTTGATAGCAGTCCTGTGCCTTTAAACACACCCTTGTCAAATAGAAACTTTGCAGCTTGACCCCTTCTCATCACTGCATCTCAGTAACAGAAGAAACTTGACCAGCATAATTTCTCTCTCATTCAGCATTTAGGCAGGCAACCCTTGAGATTACATGGGAAATGTACCATGTGAACAAAGTCAAAGAAAACCCATAATTCTGAGAGTGACTTTCCAAGACAATTATACCAAGAGGAAATGGTTTTATTGGAGGTAAATTAATTTGTTGATAGACGATTTTGTTGATTTCAGTGTCTATTTCTATTTTTTTCCAGTCTTGACATCTGTTTTTCCCATTTCCACATCTCTTTGCGGTTTTTAAAAATGAAAACGGCATCAAAATTCATATACATTTTCAAGCACATTTCTCTTAAAATAATGCAATTTTGCCAAGTATACACACTTTGGGATGCCTTTTGTGATTGGTAAGCAGCATTCCAAAATTTAGAGAAGTGCAACATTTCAAAGAATGAAATGTTCAAAGAGTTTTGGTTCATGTATTGGTTCAGGAAATGAAAACTGGGTATGAAAACAAAATGTATTTCAAAAAGCCCAGGAGTCCATTGTACGATCTCCTACAACATCCCTGCCATGAATAAGGGAATTGTGCTATAAGCAAAACATCTTTCCTTGAAGCCTTAAGATTTTAGTTCTTACTGTATAGATTAAAAACTCATTCTGAAATGATTTCCATAGAAAACAGTTGCTAGATCTTAAAGGCTGCCATCTGGAGAGAGGTGGAAAGTAAGACACCTACTTCCAGGGTCTTCTGCAATGTCTCTGTCAGGTTTCGGAGTCCTTTCTTTTCCTCCTCCACTCCTTTGAGGGACTGGGCAGTCATCTCCAGCTCCCTGGAAAACAACCAGTTGGAGCAAGAAATTTTGATTCATGCAGCCTTCGCCAACCTAGTGCCCTCCAAATGTTTGGGACTACAATTCCCATCAACCTTGGTCAGCACAGCTGGTTGGGGGAGTCTGGGCAGGTGGGCCTGGCTTTGCAAGAAACAACCTTGCAAGTTGCACGTTCACCATGACAGCACTAAGGTAACTATTACTGGAGTTGGGTAAATATTTTGCAGCTGTGTGCCGAAAGACAGCGTCTGGTAAAAATGCTGCTTGGAAGAATAGCAAAATTTAAGGCTTATTAACTTCAGATTAGGAAAGTCATTCTGAGCACAAGAAAAACCTGAAGGCCATATCCAAAAGAGGAGCCCAAATTGCCAAAGGAGGAGCATACATGTATTGATATTATATGGAGGTCAATTTACAAGAACTAGGCCAATGGAGGACACAAGGATAGTTAAGAAGCAATGGGATGTACCAGGAAATAAGGGCTTTCAGTGAGGGCTTACTAAGGTGGCCATTCCCTCAAGATAATCACCCCTAGCTGCCAATGAAAGGACCCACTTTTTCACCAGGCCGCTTCAGAGTTCAGGCACTATTACCGTTTAATCTGCTCTTGCTCCACTCGCAAATCTTGCACCACCTCCTCAAACTGCTGCTTCTCTGCCTCCAGTACTTGGTTGAGGTGCTCCAGAGCCTTAAAAGAGAAGAGGAGGAGGTACATGGAAAGCCCAAAAGGCTGCAAAGTTCCTTATCTCGTACTGTGTCAGGTGCTCACATGTGGAAAACACTTCCATGTAGAAGACAACACAAACCTTGCACAGGTAACATCACACAGCATTTGCTGTATGCAAACACACAGAAGGAGGTAGTAGCAAATCACACTTTCATCGTGGCCTGGTTCTCAATGAATCTAAGCCATCTAAGTTTGTGAAACTGAACTATGACTAGACCTACTCTGGTTAGCTAACTATGGTGTGTTTGTAGCCAACAAACCACAACATGAAACCATGTTTTAAAGATGGCTTACAAATTTAGGGGTGAGTTAACTTTAGTTTCTCTTTGTGTCTGAACCCACTATCCTGGCACATTGTGGTTCCCCACCCCAGATGACTGCTAGGCTACAGAGGTGCAAGGCCAGAGCATTTTGAAAACAAAACCAGGATAGGGTGAAATAAAGCAACAGTTCCTTTGCCTGTGTGCAAGATTTAATCCAGTTTATTTAACAAACTATAGTTAAAACAAACTATGACTAAGGGTAAAGCGAGAATGCAGCCAATGTGTGCATATGCAGCAACAAATGCACAATACAAGTCCGTACGTTCAGTGATCAGTAGGGACAACCATATTATAATTTCCAATATAGAAGTGCTCTCCATAGAGAATTTTAGGAAAGGAGGGTAAACCTGTGGCTTTCCGGCTGCGGCCTGACTCTTTCAGCCCCAAACAGTATGCCCAATGGTCAGGGAGGGATGACTGGGAGCTGTAGTCCAGCAACAGCTGAAGGACCACAGGCTCCCCACTTCTGCTTTAAAGAGATGTCATCAAGGTTTGTCCAGGATGACCACTTTTTAAAAAAAATTTAAAAACTGAACAACATTCTTGTATTTTTCTGCTATTCATTTATTGATTGATTTTTTAAAAAATAATCATTTGTGACGTGCAAACTGATCTGGGGAAAATTTATTGATGCAATGATGAGGCATGGTGTGAAAAGCAGCTAGTGCTTCAAAACTTGCCGAACTATCCCCCCCCCCCCAATATTCTATCTATATTTAGATAGAATGACGTTGGTGTGCTTCCAGGAAAGCCATTAAAAGTGTTGCATCTGCCTTCACCCTAAGAAGAGATCATGATACTGTACAATCACTGGACCCCAAACTGCCCCATAATTTTATTATTACAGATTTTCCTAAAACCCCAGACGCCCTTCACTCTAAACCTCTGGAGGCGGGGAGGCAAAAAATGCAACTTGTTTCTAATGCATTAAATGGAAGTCTTGCTCTTACACATGTTGTCAATAAACAAAGTCAGAAAGTTAAAAGGAGGAGAATAAACCTCTCTCTGCTCCCTCTGTAGACACAGCTCTTCCGTCTCTTCCATCAGTTTATCTGCAAACAGACAGAGAAAAGTGAATGCAAGCAAATTGCTTAAGACAGTTGGACAGAAATTGCATGGACCTTGAAACACAGCACAGTGAGAACCCTTGCTTCTTGCAAATTGTGCTGTGATTATTTGAATTTACTATGATGAGATTGCTTTCATGTGTTCTCGTCTCCCACCAGTCTCCTGCCAAATGAATTATAGATGACAACAACAACTTGTTCAGCCTTTAGTGCCTTCCTTTCAAGGGGGTCATTGTCTACTAATGTATCTAGATTTACAACCCCTCTCATCAAGTAGGATGGCATCACTGCCTTCATTTAACGGATGGTTAAAAAGAGTACACACTGAACAAGGTCAGCAGCAAAGCAGTGAAAAAGGCTCACTCCTAGTCCTTAAGGGGCTTTGACTGTGTTCATACACTTGGGGGAGGAAGCAGGCACTGTGAAACAACAGCACAGTGTTCCCAGCTCCCATGCAAATGTTTCAGGATGGGATTTGCAGGAGAACAAGTGGGTGGGAGGTGCTTAAATTTCCCATTTCCTGATTCCATTCTATTAATTCACCACTCAGAAAGCCCAGCCCCTTACCCCAACTGGCCTCAGCAATCGAAACCCAAGATTTGCCAGGATGAACACAGTTTGGGATAGATGGTTGAGCTGGCTGAGCCTGGACTATACCAGTCCCCCATCCTCCATCAGCTAAAGACAGGCATCCCTAAACTCGGCCCTCCAGATGTTTTGGGACTACAACTCCCATCATCCCCAGCTAACAGGACCAGTGGTCAGGGATGATGGGAGTTGTAGTCCCAAAAACATCTGGAGGGCCAAGTTTGGGGATGCTTGGCCAAAGATACGCTAGTATAAGTCCCGCATCCGGGTTCAGTCAGGATTCAGCCCAAGACGACTAAGCCCAAGCCAGGGTGAATTCCTAAAGAAGAGGCCTTCTGGGGGAGGGGAAGGAAGTATTTAATATTCTGTTGGAAACTGCCCAGGGTAGCTGAGGCAACCCAGTCAGATGGCAGATGAGTTATTATTATTATTATTATTTATTTTATTACCCCTCCCCCATTCCAAACTCCAGTCACTCAGACATATGTGACCTTGCAACCCAGAAGTTACACTGCCAAAAAAGGTGGTGTAAGTCAAACTGCCCCACATCTGTCAGTAGTAGCTCCACTCCCGAACAGAGTTTGGGCTAGAGATTAGTTACATTTGCATAATTTACCCTGCATAAATTATGCTGTCTTCCTATAGTCTGGAATGCTCTGTCCCTGTGCTTCGACATAGGAGGGGCACCGCAAAGGCCTTCCCTACTTGATCTCGATGTCAGACTGCAACAGGAGCGGGAAATGTTCTCCTGAAAATGCCCCCCCCCCCGTCACATTAACTTGGAAGCTTCCATCACAACATCAAACGAATTTCTTTGAACCTAGGAATGGTCTGCGCTCCCAAGGCACTCATTAACTCTGCTTTATTTTTGTCTGCTGTAATAGCTTAGTAGAACATGCTGCTTAATTGAGGTCACTGGCGATGAGGTCTTGAAGGTACACAGGCAGAACTGTTAACTCAGCCATCATTACAGAAAGAAGTTAAGCACCTGGGATGCTGCATATGGGGGGCGGGTCATTACACCTGTCACACACACACCCCCAACAACATGTTATAAAGCACACTGTACACTGATGCTGCTCTATAAATGATACAATGCATTAATCATATACTGATTTGTGCTGCTGATACGCTATTCCTCCCTGAGGACTAGCGGCTGTTAGTTCCAACCTAAATACTCCTGTTTCTCCTTGGCCAGCTGGAGTCCCTGGGCTTCGAGGCTCTCAATCATGGCTTCTCCCAGCTGAGCGTTTCTCCAGGTCCTGAAGAAAAGAACAAATGGAAGGATGGAAATAGCTCCTTTTAAAGAACAGCCTGCTGTCAAGTTTGCACTCTCCCCTCTCCCTGTGGCTGTGAAAGCAGAAGAACCTCTTCACAAACACTGAACAGAGAGGGAGGGAGAGAGATGGCCTGTGAAAAAATGGCGAGAGTGGGCAGCCTGATCCCCAAGTACATTAACCTGAACAGATAGGCTACCAGTTGGAGATAATGAAAACAAATCGCCAACACGACGACGGATCAGGAAACTCATTTCTCTCCAGAGAACAAAATGGCAATAAAAGCGTGGGGCCGAAGTAATTCATCAAGTCCTTTTAACCATCTCTTTCAATTTCCTAGGCTTTCTGCGGCTCTTGTAGCTCCAAAACTCTCCCCTTGTGTCCCACAAATCACAACCCTCCCGATTTCCCTCCACAGGCAGATTCTACATCCTGAAAGGCTGGAAATGTGAACCCCAAAGCCAGGATGTGGGCCAGGACCACACCCAGATTTCAGAGCAACAGATGGATCCAGAGCTCAGGATCGATGAATAATTTGAATTAACTGGTGGGGAAGCCTGAGTGCTCTGTTGCTGTTGGCTGAACCTTCCAGGCCTCTTGGTTTGGTGCTCAGGATGCTCTGCAGACGACACCCTTTCTCCCTGGGCCACGCCATCACTGCCCCTACTTTGCACCAGCTTCTGAGTGCTTCTGCTCAGCCAGAATTTGTCTGTGAACTGTGATGGTGCTTCTTGCTTATCCAGATGGGTGCAGGGTTACCTGTGTGCATGGACATGCGTGTAGAAATCAGTGGTGTTTGCGTGGCTCCAATCTACTTTACAAGAGGTTTTGACCTACAAACAGCTCAGGACTGCAAGACCTCAAGGACCACCTCTTTCCATATGAACCTTCCTGGATCCTGAGATCATCTTCTGAGGCCCTTCTTCGTGTGCCTCCTCCTTGAGAGGTCTAGAGGGTGGCAACACGAGAAAGGGCCTTCTCTGCAGTGGCTCCCCTTCTGTGGAATGGTCTCCCCAGGGAAGTTGCCTGGTGCCTTCATTATACACCTTTAGGCACCAGGCAAAACCATTCCTTTTTAACCAGGCCTTTGGTTGATCCAATTTACATCCTATGCCCTTTTAAAATGTTGTTTTTTGTGTGGTGGAGTATTGGGTTGCTGTTTTTATTTTTATTAGGTATTTGTGGTTTTAAATCTTGATTTTATATCTTGATTTTATTCTGTGAACCACCCTGAGACCCCTGGGTATAGGGCAGGATATAAATTCAAACAACAACAACAACAACAACAACAACAACAACAACAAAATTTACACCTATTGCTTGACCAGATTTTTCCTCTGCCCCCCCCCCCGGCAACCCAAAGGTTGCCCAACAGGGAATGCAGCCCCCAATGCTAGAAGCATTCCCTGAACTAGATGAATGACGTCCCTCCCTATATCTGAGGCCCCTGGACTGAGATTGCCACGCAGAGAGCAAAATGGACGTGACTGCTCTGCTACGGATGGCCAGTTTGCTTGCTTCTGTCCCGCTGAAGCCCACATTTTTCAAAATGCTCCTTGACCTTCACAGCCACGGGCTCTCTGCTTCTCTCCTAACAAAGCAACTGCATGACTGGTGGAGCAATTCCTCAGAGCTATTTTAAACTCCTCTGGGCAGCGAAGGTGCTCCTTGGTGATTTTGCTTCTGCAGCAAGGATTACGCAAGCAGCAATCTAGATTGTTACAGTGGTACCTCGGGTTACATACGCTTCAGGTTACAGACTCCACTAACCCAGAAATAGTACCTTGGGTTAAGAACTTTGCTTCAGGATGAGAACAGAAATTGTGCTCTGGCGGTGCAGCGGGAGGCCCCATTAGCTAAAGTGGTGCTTCAGGTTAAGAACAGTTTCAGGTTAAGAACGGACCTCCGGAACGAATTAAGTACTTAACCTGAGGTACCACTGTACTTGTGACTGAGCTGGGCTGTAGGCCTAGAGTTCTGGAGGGTATTTTGCACAGCAGACATTTGCTTGGTTATCAGCTGAAGGCTGGAAGCCAGGTTGGCTTGATGGCATACTTCATAGTTCGTAAATTTAGGGGTGAGGCAAGTCCCATAAAGAGGGGAAGAGGAAACAAAGGTTGGGGTGTGAGAAAGTTCTGTAGCAGTTCATGAAGCAAGACAAGGGAGGACTGGAGCAGAAAGTTCAGGTAAGCTGGCATAGGGAGGTTAGGGGACAATGACATAATAGGCAAGACCCAGTCTGATATGACTCCAGGGTTTTTTTTAAAGGCCTGCCAGACAGTTAACAAACTATACTGTGAACCAATAAGAGGCTGGAAGCTTCCACAGCCTAATTAGGTGCTGCTGACTCTCTTCCCTCGTTCATTTGCACATGCAAGGGGTGAGTCAGCCGTTTAAAAGTGCATCAGAGGAAATCCAATAATGTCCAGGGGTGAGTGGGGCAGACATTCATTCATACAACAGTGAACTGCTGTCCCATGTGCACCCCAAAAATCGGCTGTGGGGGGCTGGGGGATCCTGCAAAGCTGTGTGTCTGCAGGGCAAACGAGAGGAATGGGATGTCGTGCAAGTCCACTCATGAGATTTTGCCAGCCGCCCATTGTTTATTATCTCTGGGATAATGGGTCCCAGGTCAATATGGAGCAGCTGGAAATCACGCTTGCAGCTATTGGCAGAACAACCCAGTGCATGTTCACTCACAAGCCAGTTTTCTGTTTCAGTCACACCTGCCAAGAAGGTTGCTTAGGACTGCTGCATAGATGGCCAATGCTATATCTGATGCATAAGCGCCTTTTATGAAAAGTTAATGTGTGCTTCGTCCTGCTATTGCACTTGTGTGTGACCTTGCTTCCCCAGTATGAGTACACACACACACAACCTAGAATAAACCCTGGTGGGTGAAAAGGGTTTTTTTTGTTTTTTTTTAATTGTTCCCTGTAAGCTTCAATGAAATAAAATCTTTCTAGCTGGATATAAACTGCTGGTATGGAGCAAACAGCAAAACTTAAGCAGCTTAGCTGATGATTATAGGGCTCTAAAAGTTCCCCATCTGTTTTGGGAGTGCCTCCCACTGTAGCCCTTGCCTTGCTTACTTCTCGGAGATGGAAAGAGCTTCCCCTTTCATTATGTGAAACACAGCATGAAGGTCAGGAGGACAAGCACTTGCAGTCCAGTTCCATGCTCAGTGTGGGGTCCCTAAGCCCACTGAAACAATATAAAACACACCTAAATCAACATAGGATTGCAAGCGCTCAGTCCTTCTTATGTTTATGCACTGGACTCACTGGAAGTACATCTGAGTGTGCAAAGGTTTGCAGCCTTAGTAAAAAAACCACATGCTTGCTGAATATTACAGGTGTGCAAAAGCAGGGTAAGAATCTTGGGGTAACAGACTTCTTTGTAGAACTTTGGGGAGCTGTGTGATTGCTGATGAGAAGAACATAATGAGATTCATCTTCTTGAAATGCTTCTATGGTCCTAGTTGCCTGCATCTAGACTAGGAGGGAAGGAACCTCATCTCCTGGCCACAGAACCACAGTAGTAAGTGGCCTAATAAACCCTCCTGGACACGGTAACCTAAGTACAGAGGCCACTTTGTAAAGTTCCCTAGTCTTAAATGTATTGTGGTTCTGCTAGTCAGAACAATGTGCCTACTAGGAAGTTATGAAATCTGGGACTTGATGATGCAGTGGTACCTGGAGAAAGCAGCTTTCATTCTCAGAGTCAAAGCCACAATCCAGACAGAGTTAAGTACCTTTAAATGCCATTGATTTCACTGGGAGAATTAGGAATGTGTGTCTAAGTTCTTAACTCTGGCCGGATATACAGTGGTACCTCGGGTTAAGTACTTAATTCGTTCTGGAGGTCCGTTCTTAACCTGAAACTGTTCTTAACCTGAAGCACCACTTTAGCTAATGGGGCCTCCTGCTGCCGCCGCGCTGCTAGAGCACAATTTCTGTTCTTATCCTGAAGCAAAGTTCTTAACCTGAAGCACTATTTCTGGGTTAGAGGAGTCTGTAACCTGAAGCGTATGTAACCCAAGGTACCACTGAACCCACAATTTCCATTCCCCTTTCCAGGGCTGTTATTCCCTGCCTACCCTCAGAAAATCCCTCCACTTCAGTTGCCATGCCCAACTTCCACTTGATCCCAGCCCCAAATCTCCCCACTAAATTGTAGTTTAGTGTGATGAGAACAAACTGCTGCAAGCTCCATCAGGCTTGCATGTTCTTCCCTCCCCTCCTCTGGTGGAGTTGCAAGGCGTTTGGGAGCTTTTGGTTCTCTTTTTTTCTTAACCACACTGGTTAACACTGAGTATGGTTTGTTTGAAACAAAACAACTTCAACCTATAGTTTCAGGAGATTTCAGGAGATGGCTTGTTTAAATGAACTCCAGTTAACGTTAACCACAGTTGAGAGGCTGAACAAAATGCTGAATTCTGGTTAAAGTAAAACTGAAGCAAAGGCATCAAAATTTCTGCTTGTGGCTGGGTTGAGGAGAGGGGCAGGCAAGCTCTTCATTCTCATCACAGATTTCTGACCGTGGCCATATTCTTGCCATTATCTCTGTTACCCTCCATTACTACAAATTATATATTTTGGGACACAGCCCCCAAAGAGCAGCAGATAGTATTAATACTAACAATTAAAGTATTAATGAAACCAGAGCTTAGGTAAATAGTAGCTTTAAAGTAAGCGCAAGCCTAACAGAGCAGCTCCTCAGATACTTACACTTTCCCGGACTCCTGTAGCATTTCCAGCCACTGGGCTTGTTCATATTCTGATTCTGCTGCCAGGACAATGGTACCCTTAAAAGAGAAACACAGCGGCTATGAAGAGAGAAGCGGTATGAAAATATTAGGGCTGTTGCATGGGCCCATTGATCTGATTTGGGTCCTAACCCAGTGTTTCTGAGCGGTCCTGATCCAACCGTGGATGATCTGGGGCCACCCGAATCCTGATTGTAGACCTTGCCCAGTCATGCAATTAAGCATGCGGTCAGTAAGGGAAGAAAGGAAGTTCTCTCTCTCTCTCACACACACACACACACACCCGGCTGCACCCACTTTTGACTGGATGAAAAGTGGGTGGAATGGACCTAATCTGTCTTAGGGTGATTTGGAGCTGCCTCAGTCTGATCTGGCCCAAATCCCAGGTCCACCTGAACCTCTTTGCTTGTGTATGACGAGTGTCCAGGGAGTATATCTGTACTAGACACATCAGTTTTATGCTAATTGAACAGGGGAAGAAGGGCTGTCGCTCAGTTGTAGAGCATTAGATTTGCATGCAGAAAATCCCAAGTTCAGACATCAGCATCTCCAGGTACAGACCCTCCAAATGTCCCTATTTTCCAGGGATGTCCCTGATTTACAGAAGCCGCCCCAGTTTCTGATTTAATCCCGGAATGTCCCACTTTTCTTTAGAATGTCCCTAGAGCTAGATAGACTAACGATCTGACTCGGGAGAAGGCAGCTTCCTGCATGCGGCAGTTTCAATCACATTCATTTCTCATCTGTCAGCACACTCAGCTTATTCCTTAATTGGCGGCTTGCAAAAGAAATTGTCTTTACGTGGAAGTCCTCATGGGAGATTTTCATTGCATAGGGCATGTTTGGCTCTTCTTTGGCTTCAACGATGCAGCCGCCCAGAGGTATGACACCCTGTGGAGACACACCAAAAATTTAGACTAGTTCGTGTGACTCCCTACTGAATTGCAGCATGATACAGCTTAAAATGGGACGCGGGTGGCGTTGTGGGTTAAACCACAGAGCCTAGGACTTGCCATTCAGAAGGTTGGCGGTGCAAATCCCCATGACGGGGTGAGCTCCCATTGCTCGGTCCCTGCTCCTGCCAACCTAGCAGTTCGAAAGCACATCAAAGTGCAAGTAGATAAATAGGTACCGCTCGGCGGGAAGGTAAACGGCATTTCCGTGTGCTGCTCTGGTTCGCCAGAAGCAGCTTAGTCATGCTGGCCACATGACCCGGAAGCTGTACGCTGGCTCCCTTGGCCAATAAAGCGAGATGAGCGCCGCAACCCCAGAGTCGGCCACGACTGGACCTAATGGTCAGGGGTCCCTTTACCTTTACAGCTTAAAATGAGTTAGGGTCAATGGTGGTTTCTAGCTCATCCTTTGGGGAGATTAGAGAAAAACCAGAAAGTCCCCCATTTAGATCTCCCCTCAGCCACGGACGACATCACTCTTTTTCAGCTGCAGCCCCCCTGCAGTAGCAGCCATAATAATATGGATCTATCTTAGACTGTTATATCTTTAAAGCACATTCTTTCCCTCAAAGACTTTTGGGCAATGTAGTTTACCACACAGAGGATTAGAATTCCTAGCAACCCTTAAAAAACTACAGTGCCCAGAATTCTTTGAGAGAAAATGTGCATTGACTTTTCTTTAAAGGTGCCTTATGAGAAACTGTACATGAACTATAGAATGTACATGTATTAATTTACAAAGCCCTGAACAACTAAGGTCCAGAGTACCTGTGGGTCCACTTGAATCCTCATATCCCAGCTTAATCATTGAGATCTCCCATAGTGCCACCAGTTGACCCCTGAGTTAGGCAACACTCAAGTGCCCACAGTGGAAATGATTGGATACCCATTCATTCATATTTAAAAGTGTATATTTAAATATACACATTCGTGTTTTTAATGCCCAGTTAGCACACCTAGGTTCTTCCAGGGATATCTTCTATGAAGAAGATACACAAGAGTCTAGCTCCAGGTGTCTATGAGGAGCACATTTGCAGATGCTGCTTACTTTAGGGTGGATATTAAAGTAGCGATTGTTTTCAAAGTTCTTCTTTTCATTCTCAGCATAGTAAAGCAGAAAACTCTCCTTGATGATAAAGAACCTGAAAAGAAAGGAAGACAGAAATATTACATTTTATAAAAACACTTAACTCCCCAATAATTTCATATGGATGACAATACTGCAGGTGGACTGTATCGTGATTCTGTAGAAAGTACTAACATTACCAAACCTTGTGTTTGACCTGCAGATCTCTCTAGCAATGGGCACCACACTCTCTCCTTCCAATGACATGTGCTGATCGGCTAGTATTGTAGCTGCCCTTACAGCTCTGTGCTTCCAACCAATAGGCTGACCTGACACTATCAGACCTGAAAGGTTTAGAATAGAGGCTTTCAAATTTTCTACCCTCAGGACTCACCTGAGATGGCTGAAAATTACTGAGGCCCACTAGTCACAAAATGGTGGCACAGGGGCAGAGCCAGGCATAAAACGGTGGCAGACAGAAGCAGATTTTGGCATAATCAGCCAAAACAATAATTCAAAATAATTTTATCCATCGTTAGAAATTGCTACATTGTGAGTCAGCAAGTTAGAAGATAATTTGAGAAGGCCTTTTATTGCTAGTAGTTCATTTGTATTGTTTTACACACACACACACACACACACACACACAGACACGTAACTTCATGAAAAACAAGAGATACTACCTGAAAACAGTTACACATTGGGTTATAAAGTGGGGATGGATTTGGCTGAATCACTGAATGTGGTTATTTTTCACCCTTGGATGAGGCAGTGGTGTGCGTGGGCTATTTTGGGGAGGGGTCATCACATATGCATGAGCATCCAGCCTCCCTCTCCAAGCCGGGCAGAAGCTTCCTGGGCTTTGGGAAATAGGTACCAGGGTAACATGTAGGGGACTAGTCCAGTCCCCTTAAGGGTCCACTGACTGCATGCCAGTGGGTGGTGGCTATCTTTGTGGAGGGGTTTTCACCAGCAAACCCAGAGAAGGAGTTAGATCGAAAGAGGTGACTACGAATTCACCCTCTAATGGGATGAAGGATGTTCCCTTGCTACTGTAATCCATCCCAGCAGTGAGAGTGTTCTATGAATATTATCTGTGCATTTAAGTTTTAGCTCTGCAGTCTGGAGGGCTTAAGAATCTCAGGAGGCCAAATACTGGAATGATACACTGTTCCCCCATGTTTGCTCTTATGTGTGAAAGGGGCAAAGCAACACTAGCAGAGTATGAAAAAACTGAATATAGAACCCACTGACATTGTCTAGGGATTTGAAGCCTAAAGTGAAATGTAATTATCCAGGCTGGAGATTTGTTTTGAATGTTCTCAAAGTGACAAAAGGAGCTTGAGAGGTTTGCAGCTCCCAATACTTCTTTAGATGATAGGTTTGCCCTTAATTGCTAATATATTTCAGAGCAATTCCAATTCTCAGCCTTGGCAAAGGAAAGGCACTTTCTGTCTGAGCAGAATAAGGGCCTCTTGATTCATCATCCCCAGAAGCTCCTGCTTGGATAGGTGTTTTCTCCAGTTCCTCAGTAAATCACTCCAGAAGCAATTTCGTCAATAATAGCATGGCTAAATGCAAATCTCTGCATCCCCATCTCAAATGCAAATTGTTAGTCTAGGGACTCTCTAATATTTAGTTTAGTTATATTCATTCATTCATTTCTATGCCACTCTTCAGCCAAAGATCACAGGGCAATTTACAATATAAAAACACAAAAATACATAACATGATATCAAACAATAATAATAACCACACACACAGTTTAAAAGGCCATAGATTGTTTAATAAACGGAAGGCCTGGGAGAAGAAAAATGTTTTTTGCCTCATGCCTAGAGATATGTAATGACTCTCACCTTTCATCCAGGAAACTCAAGGTCACCCTCTCCATATTACCCTCATAAAAAATTGGTGAGGTAAAAAAGGTAAAAAGATAAAGGACTCCTGGACGGTCAAGTCCAGTCAAAAGTGACTATGGGGTGCGGTGCTCAACTTGCTTTCAGGCCGAGGGAGCCAGTGTTTGTCCACAGACAGCTTTCCAGGTCATGTGGCCAGCAGGACTAAACCACTTCTGGTGCAACAGAACACTGTGATGGAAACCAGAGTGCATGGAAACACGATTTACCTTCCTGCCGCAGCAGTACCTATTTATCTACTTGCACTGGTGTGCTTCCGAACTGCTGGGTTGGCAGGAGGTGGGGCACAGCAACCTTCTGATTGGCAAGCCCAAGAGGCTCAGATCACAGCGCCAAGGGCCAAGCAGGGATTCGAACCCTGGTCTCCCAGGTCCTAGTCTGACACCATGGCCACTGCACCAACATCTGTTATCGCCAACTTCATTAGGAGCCAGTTGCCTTTTTCTTGTTATTGTCAATATTTGAACCCACTTAGCAGGGCATGTGGTGATGGTGGAGGAGGAGGGAGAATCATTTTTTACTTCCATTCCGTCAAGTGAGCAAAGTTGCTTCATTTGTGGCCACACTCTGGGCTTTCTAGTGTTAAAGATTTCTTTGCATTTGGTCTTCCAGAATACCTTGTTTTCTTAGCAAAGAACTGAAGGCTGGAGGTGGATGGTGACTTTTCCATGAGTGAAAGATGGCATGGTGAAAGATCGCTGCCCACGCTGTGCAGACTTGATTATTTTGCTGCACTAGAAGAACCTGACAAGTCTGTTTGACTGTGACCGTGGTGGGATACCTCCCCCTCCCCGCCGCCGCCGCCACTAGAACTCACATCACAAGAAATTATGGTCTTCAGCATTTCACTTATAGCCCCCGAAAAATATAAACTCTTCATTTTTAAAAGGTATAATAATATGGATTCCAGGAATTTTAAAGACAATACTAGAGAAGACTTAAGTGCAGAAATCAGGTGTTGTCAAGGCTGCCTCAAGTCTTAGCTCACAAAAGACCAACGCCTCTGTCTTCTTATATACAAAAGTGTTTATTGTAGTTCATGGTTTGCTTGACATCCTAGGCGCGCAGCCTTACGTCTTTTACGCTAGACCGCCGAAGTCCCCTCTGAGTCAGTTCCTCCCCTGCACCAATTTAAGAGACTTGCGCTGCTCCACCTCTTTCTCTCCTTCCTTTTCCGCAGGGTCCTTCTGCCCACTGGGGTTTCGCCCCTCCTGGATTCCTCTGATGCGGAATCCCCAGACTGCTCTTCCCCCCTCCTGCGGGCTTTGGGACCTGGCCCCTCCTCCGGGCTCCCTGCACTTCCGCGCGCCTCTACATTTGAACTAGGCGCGCGCCAAACCTCTAACTTTCCTTTTGACAGTTACACTACTCCCTTCACTGCTCCCCTCCCCTTCCGGGAGGGCGGCTTGCTCTGACCCCCCCTCCTTTCTCTGCTGCTGGAGCTGCTTCCTCTGACACACTGGAAACTCCACCCCCTTCGCTGCACTCTGGTGGGGAGGCTGGTCCTGACGCCCAGCTGCCACTTTGGGATCTTCCGCTAGCACCCTGCTCCTGACACTTCCCCCCTGGGGCTCCCCTGGCCTTGACCACCAGCGCCCCCTTCTGGGAATCCTCTGATTCGCTGGAAAGACTCATGGAATCTCTTGAGTCATTGTCATCCTCTTCCTCGCTGGCTTGGAATTCCTCCCCCTCGCTCTCCATCTCCTGCCTACCCTGTGCCTCTCTCCCTGAACCCCTGACAGGTGTGGTCCTTCAAAAGGCATTTGTGTGGAATTGCTTTCCCATTCTAGTCCTCCATCCTGCTTGAGCCCAACTTCCTAAATTAGACATGGGAGGTATCCATAAAAATACAGCCACATTTATCCTTACGCTTTATGCCAATACTTATCCTTATCCCAATGCCGGTTGCCTGACGTCAGGTGCAGGACAGCAAAAAGCACCTCACAGCACCAAGACTGGAACTTAACCCTCTTTGAGAGGAAAAATCAGCTGAGGGAATCTCTGTTCTCTGAACTTAAGTGTTGTGGAGGTTAGCCCTACAGCTGGAGATAAGTGTTGTCTCTGCTGCCTTTTAGAGGATTCAGTACAGAAGATATCCAGAAATTGATGAAGCGTCCTTTTTTTAAAAGGGACGCGGGTGGCGCTGTGGGTAAAACCTCAGTGCCTAGGACTTGCCGATCGCATGGTCGGCGGTTCGAATCCCCGCGGTGGGGCGAGCTCCCGTCTTTCGGTCCCAGCTCCTGCCCACCTAGCAGTTCGAAAGCACCCCTAAGTGCAAGTAGATAAATAGGTACCGCTTTATAGCGGGAAGGTAAACGGCGTTTCCGTGTGCTGCGCTGGTCTGGCTCGCCAGAGCAGCTTAGTCACGCTGGCCACGTGACCCGGAAGTGTCTCCGGACAGCGCTGGCCCCCGGCCTCTTAAGTGAGATGGGCGCACAACCCTAGAGTCGGACATGACTGGCCCGTAGGGGCAGGGGTACCTTTACCTTTTGCCTTTTTAAAAAAAGACAACAACAACAAAAATAGACAAAAACTGTTCATGGTAGGGGAGTATAGTACTCACATTAATGATGCCAGAAGAAATCTGAGGGTTCAAGTGACAATTGTATAAGCTCCCACTGTCACAGTGTTGCTAATTCTAGCCGGAGGACATAATGTTCAGGAATGTTTATTATGTTGATTGCCCACAGGTGGAAGGCTCCACACTCCTGCTTTAGGGAGCGCGTAACCCCCTTCAGAACAGGTTGAACTCCACACACCTGGACAGGTGAGCTAGTTACTAATGCTATGTCCAGCTTTTCTGGATTCTCAGGTGTGTTGTTTTTTTACTGACATCCAGTACATTATCATATCCAGGCACTGATTCTGCCTCATGTGTTCTTTCCAGAGAACTACCTTCACAAACTGCTGACTCACACAGTATGTTTTTTCTGTACACATACCTGGCATGACTGAGACTGCTTATATGAAAAAAAGAAAAAGAGCCAGATTGTGGGATCAACTCCACAAAAGCCTGTTTTCCACCCATAAATGTTTTGTTCCTAATACACACAGTCAATGAGATTAGTTAGGTAATATTCATAAGTGCTTTTTGAAAACATAAAAGGGCTGTGTTAAGTATTCCCCGCAGATTATAACATCGTTGTTGGGTCTTGGAGCCCACTATGCTTTTTTGGAATAGCTCCAGGAACTAAGTATAGCAACTAATTGATGTTGGGGTGATTTTTCCTCCTCTGGGGATATTCCAGTAAAAGTGGAACAAGGCAGCCTCCAGGGCGGTTCAGTTTTGAAACTGCTCAGTCGGATGCATGTGCCGCCTGGAAGGCTAAGACAGGCTTCCCCAACCAGCTACTCTCCAGATGTGCTGGACTACAACTCCCATCAACCGAAGCCAGGAGGATTTCCAAAGCTATTTAAATAGGTCAGGCAACAGACATTTGGTGTGGATGAGAGCATAAGATTTGTGCTGTGTCCCTGTTTGTTAACTGCAGTTTTCTGTCTGACCATCCTGAATTGTTAACTAAAGTTTGTCCAGATATTTCCTCTAATTAATCATGACTCTTATATGGCTTTGGAACCTTAGTATAGTGCAGTGCTTCTCAAAGTGCAGGTCACAGATGGGTCCAAAAATGTTCCTGGGCAGGTGACGGTGAAACAATGAGGAGCTTTTTAAAAACTTGCTTCCTCTACATTATTATTATTATTATTATTATTATTATTATTATTATCATTATCATTTCTATACTGCTTTATATTTTTAAGAAATATAAACCTACATCAAATAAAGCAATCCCAAATAAAACATTACTGAAGAAAGTCAAATATAAAGTACAGTATACGTTCAAAGCAACAGGAAACAGGAAACTAAAAGGTTATCTTAAAGATTTCAAAATAAAACTTTACAAAGGAGGTCAACTACAGAATGCACAGTTAAGGCAGCAAAGTTAACAAACAACATACCATTATTGTCATGAAGCTTCTAAATGACAGTTATTCCCTATATTTATGTATCGTGGTTAAGTTCTATTCAAATACATAATGCTATTAGGAATGGGCAGTACAGTTGTACCAAAAATTTCACCAGCATTTCTTGTGACCACTCTTCATCAATAAATGGGACGGCAAATACCACCCACTGGATCAGGCTGAAAGCCTATCTAGGTGGGCATTCTGTTCTGGTCTTTATCTCTAAACCGGGCTTGGAACACACAGCATTGCAAGCAAAGGATGCCTTCAAAGGAGAAGGACACTTCTCTGGTGGTCCTGTTCAAACAGAGGAGGCATGTAGATGATCCTGGGTAGATTCTTCTTCAGTGCCAACTTCTCTTGCCAATAAAGCCTTAATTCAGGGTGGTGGTAGGGACTTATAAGGAAAGTACAACAGAGGAGGGTGGGGTCACACATGCACCAGAGAGACCAGCTATGTTAGCAGAAAGAGTCCCTTGCGTTCCCTTGGATTAACCTAACCTGTCCTTCCCTTTGCACCAGCTGCACTATGGGCAGAAGACGGCTTCCCTTCCTTGCCAGGAGGTGGTCCAGTATTGTGGCTGCTGAGTATTGGGTTGGGATACGAAACACTCAGCTTAATTTCTCTGATTAGGTCTGAAGCTCATCTTAGTGGCCCTGGACACTGTTGGGCAGTGGAATGGACTCCCCTGAGAGGTGGTGAGCTCTCTTTCACTGGAGGTTTTTAAGCAGAGGTTGGATGGCCATCTGTCATGGATGCTTTTGTTGTAATTCCTGCATTGCAGAGGGTTGGGTTGGAGTGTAGATAGCCCCCGGGGTCCCTTCCAACTCTAAAAGTCTATGAGTCTGTGACAAATGATGATGACTCAGGGCTGGAGCAGTCAGGTGATGCTGGAGATACGTCCAAAAGCAGCCATGGGGTTAGATCAAAACAGTGAAAAGGTCTGTTGACCAAACTAGGGGTGGGGTGGGATGCTGTATGTCAGAAAGGAACTTTGGGAAAGGATTTAGAATGGGAGAAATCTATTACTCAGCATCTTCAGGTAGGACTCGGGGAAACCCCTGCCTGAAAGTCTGGAGAGCTACTGCCAATCAGAGTAGGCAATGCTAGGTTAGATGAACAAGACAGGTTCTTGCAGTTGTTCCTTCATTACAGGAGGAAGTTACTCCCTCCCCCCCCCAAAAAAGATCCCAAATTTGGTGCACATGCTTGGCAAGCAAAAAATCTCTTGTTTCATTCCTGACATCTTAAGAAAGATCTCGGAAAGACCCTTGTATTTCTGGGAAAGACCTATAAGTTCCCCATGCCTGTCCTGCAACTAGCACCCCCCCGATTCTTGCAGCTTAGATGCATATACGCATTTGAGTAATGCTGCCTGCTAAAAGTGACCACTTCCAGCAATAAAACTGCTGCATTAATAATTACGCTCTGAGGCCGGAGTTGCATGTAAGCAATTTAGTTTGGAGGAAATGAGCATCGGAGACAACTTTCTGCCAACTGTGAAGGAATCTTTTGCCCTTCAGCGTTCTCTCTCACAGGGGATAAACCACCAGTCCTTGGCTCCTTTCAGAAACACCATGACTCTGGAATTTTAAATAGGACTTTCTTGTAAACACAAAGCACCTTGGCTGTCATTTTCTTCTCGTAACAGATTAACAAAACTTGTGTCATGCTGAACTTATGAAACAAAAGGAAAGACGACAGGAAGGGGAAAAACGTCGCTGAGAGTAGTCTTTTCTTCATGAAGGTACTTTACTGTTGATGGTGACACAATGTCTTAAATTATGTATGAGTATTTGTAGTCAAATCTCTTATCCAGATTTATCCATCAGGTAGAAGCAGGACCAGTTCCACATGACTCATAATACATCACTTGGTCCCCACAGCACTCCTACTCCCCATTTACTCAGGAGCAAGTTCCATCTGGGCCTGAGATGCGGGTCCACAATATTACTAGGTCCAGGGGCACATTTGGTATCCTAAGAAATTGTCATGGGCGTCTCAAAATACTCATTTCACAGAACCACTGATGCTCAGATCCCATCCAAAATGGGCAAAACGCCTACACAACCCCCTCCACTTTTTGTAGACATTCAGATGTCTTTTTTTGTAAAGGAAATGTGTCTGCATTATGGGGACGTTACACATTCTCGGCTCAAACCACAACCTTCCCCAGCTAGCGTGGCAATTGTGAGAGCAAACGCAACATGGCTGAAAGTCACAGACCCCTATTGGATAGTACCTGCGACATCACTCACAACACAACTCCTCCCTGCCATACTTGCCCCATGTCCTGCCTTCAGGTCATGCAACTAGTTACCCAGAAAAGAATTCTGGGATTCAGTTCACACATCATTCAGCCAAAAGGGAGGAAAGCCGCTACTTCAGTTCCTGGCACAACTTCTGATCAACTGTGTTTGTTCCCCCAAAATCCCCACTGAGGGCAGCACCACAATCTACTAAAAAGCACCTGGTCCCCCAAACCCAAGTATTCTGTGAACTTCAAAATGCCACACATATTCTGTCTTAAAGCTAGCCCAATGCTAGCTCCAGTTTTCTTTCCCTGGGGCACAGAGGGCAGCAGAGAGAGACCCCATGCCAGTCTCCAAGGAGAGCAAATGCCACTACACATACCTGCTAGCCTACAGATGCTATGAAGCTGCAGCTGATCTCTTACAACACTGTGTCAAACACAACCTTAGCATACTTGCTGAGCTCTCCCCTCAACTCTTGAACCCATCTGCTTGGTCATGGGACCGTTTTTCATGCCTGGCTTGAGTGTCCCTCGGAGGCTTCCCTCGATTTTCTGGCTCTCCCCCACCAGCACAAACTCTATTGTCGTCCCCTGCCCCCCCATCTCCCCAGGGAGCCTTTTCATTGTGACGGCAGCTCTTTCCAAACACTTACCTCCTGGACCACTTGGCTGAGGGTCTCCCAAAGGGTCTCTTCCAGAGCACTCCATACAGCTGCACTTTGGTGCTGATATCCAAGGCATCCGAATCGGCAGGTTCCATCGATGGCGAAGGAGACACCGTGTTGGATTTTGAAGTGAACATTGTCGAGGGAGGGAGATGGATTTTTGAGCTGATTCTCTGCCTCTGCTCTGTAGTTCAGGGAATCCGATTAAATGCAATGAACCAGAAGGACGTAACCAGCCGCCCCGGTGGGAGAAACACACACACACACAGACACACACACCCCAGAGAGGCTGAGGCTGTGCTTTCAATCAATATCTGGACTGCTCAGTGCTCAGTCAATACCTGTCTCCCTGATGCAATGATGATGAGAGCTTCCTCGTGCCATGTGCCCGCTTCCCAATGTGCCGGGGAGATGGAGTGAGTCAACATTCCAGACCAGCCTGAAAACAAGCGAGGCAGAATGAACGCTCCAAACATCGCACAGCAGGCCAAAATCTGAATGTGCATGAGACGCTGGCAAAATGCCCACTGCAGCAGAGGCCGGCGCACATTAATACTTAGCATGCATCTGCTTCTGTCCTGTAGACACAGGGTGAGTGGATTTATTCCTCACTATGTATACAAAGGTATGCACCAGTGTCCTGCTGGAGAACAACATCCCTAAACATAAGCCAGGCTTGCTTCTGTGCCTCTGTAGTGCCTGTTCAATCTTTTAACTGCATAAGCAGACTATTAGTTTAAAAAAAAAAAAAACCCACCTATTAACCCTCTAGTACTCTTAACTGCAGAGGGAGAAATGTACTCTATAACAGCTTCCCAGAACTTCTCATCATTCAGAAGTAGGGGGGAAACAGGAAAGAATATGCTTTCTGCTTTGGCAGTTGTACTGTGTGGTGATGGGAGATTGATTATATGAGGAATGGTAAAGATTGTTCGGAGTTGTTGAAAGGGTATAAAAGCCTCATGTTCCCCCAGTGCTGTTTTTGAATTCATTCAGGCTGACATCAAGATTCCTTCACGAAACATGCCATTGATGAATTGTGTGAACCAAATAGCGGAAAGTCATTTATGCTCCCCTTTAGCAACCCCAGGAAATCATGTAACCATCATCGTTCGGGGGGGGGGGGAGGCAAGTTATTATATCTTGTTCACATCCAAGTATCTGATTCTAGAAACCACATCAGCCTTGCCATTCACGTGGTTGATTTGCTGGCTTAATTGAGAGCCAGCTCTGAGCTTGCCTTCCCTCACACACCCCAGGGTATATTTCAGACACTGGCAGGCATCAGGGGTAGGGAACCTCAGACTGTGTGCTGAATGTGGCCCTCCGGGCCTCTCCATCTGGCCCCCATGACACTCTCAGGTCACACCCCTCATTAGCCCTGCTCCGCACCCCTTCAAATGTCTTTGCCTGTCTGGAATTTGCCCTTGAACCTTGATCATCTTGCTTGCTTGCCTGGATTGAGCGTGGATGAAGAGAGGGAGAGGTAGGTGTGTGTGTGTGTGTGTGTGTGTGTGTGTGTGTGTGTAGAAACCAGGGTTGTGAGAGAAATTCAACTCACTTTGCAATTAAAGCTGATTTGATCAAATCCACGCTCCCCATCCCCAAAGGAAAACCAAAGCATAGCTAAAATTTGCACTTTGCCAAATTTTGTGATGCAGTAGTGAACATGTATGTATGAACCAGGTCTGCTGTTCTGGACACAAAACCATTTCAGCCTCCTGTAAGACAATGAAAAAGTAGACAGACTATAGGTTTGTTGGTGGTTGTCTTTTTGGGGAGAGAACAGAGCCCTGAGGTACTCCACAAGTGAGTGTTCAGGGGTCCCAAACACTCACCCCCAACACCACTTTCTGGACACGGCTCAAGAGGAAGGAGCGGATCCATTGTATAACAGTGCCCCCAGCTCCCAGTTCCTCTAGACGGTCCAGAAGGATGTCATGGTCAATGGCATCAAAGGCCACTGAGAGATCCAGCAGAATTAGGAAGCAGCTTTCAGCTCTGCCCCTAGCCTGCCAGAGATCATCAACCAGCGCAACCAATCAGTTCCATGATGGGGCCTGAATCCTGACTGTAAGAGATCCAAATGGTCCACAGCCTCAAAACGTGCCTGGAGTTGTTCAGCGACCACCCCCTCAATCACCTTGCCCAAGAATGGAAGATTTGAGACTAGGCAATAATTGGCCATAATGGCCAGGTCCAAAGATGTGCAGAACCTTGATACACTTAGCCTGTGGAGGATAAACTGGCCTGAAAAATCTGTACCATTTTATGGCTTGGTTCTTTTCTCTTTAATCCTCAAACATGCAACCCACCCACATTGTGAGCTGTACTGTAGCTACAGACTTATGCATCCGAATCAATCCCCAGGAGCTCAGGTCTTCCAAGTGGGCGAGAATAAAGCACTACTCAGCTGGTCCTACTTTGGTAATAGCAACTCTGATGACTCTTGCTCAGCCCACAGCCCTGTTAAATTTTAAGAGCCTGAAATGAAAGAGACGGGGGAACAGCAAAGCTACATTCAAAAGCCAGGAAGGTTATTCAACAAAAAAGCCATAAACGTCAGAACCCTGCAGGTGGCCAGCCTAGCCATGCTTGCTAACAAGCTCGAAGGTTAATGTGTAGCCTTCCCTCGGGTTATAACTGGAAGGCCTGACTCAAGCCTTCCGGGCAGAACCAAAGTTATTACAATTAATGTGGCATATCCTTGCCCACCATGGAACAAAAAACCATGCTGTTAAACATGGGCAGAACAAGATTAGGCATTGTGCCAAGTACGCTGTACCATCGTACTTGGGTCCATCCATAATGGAGCATAATTAAAAATACATTAGGCTCAGCTTAGCTTAGAGAGACACCACTCTTTCTACTGGACCCATTTGGATCGCTAAGATACGTCCAGTATGGGAAATGGATTTGTTTTTGTTTGCATCACAAAGAGAAATGACCCAATTTGCATTATTCAGACCAATATATGAACTGAAACACATATATTCTTTGAAACATGCCCTCCTCCAATACATTTATGAAAGGAAAGTGTGCATACAAATGTGTTTATTAGTGAAAATGCTAGTCAAAAATGCATATTGGGGGGGAATCACTTGCAAAAATTGGTATAGTCATCAAAACTGCATACAAAAATTTGCTTATCAGGAACTTTACACTAAAACTCCATTCTCAGGAGTTGTTGTTTTTTTTAAAAAAGAAAACCACAGATTGCTGTGGAAATGCGTAGAACTGGAATTTAAGATTGGGAAAACTGAGAGAAACTGAAATTGACAGATTCATGCATCCCTTGCCAATTAATTTTCAGTGGATTTTTTTTATCTACGCTGCTTAGAGATATGAATAAAGTGGTATAGAAATATTATAAGTAAATAAATACAATTAATTTTCAGTGGATTTTTTTATCTACGCTGCTTAGAGATATAAATAAAGTGGTATAGAAATATTATAAGTAAATAAATACAATGTATTACCAATATGAAAAGGCATGAATACAGACCCTCAGCCCCCCTCCCCAAACCTGCTAAAGTCTCAGGGCTCCCTCCAGATGACCTGTTTGTTGAACAAGCATCCTGATTTGCCTACACAAAGCTTATGTGGTTAGGTTACCTCTGCTCTTTATTGAGAAGTTACCCTGATTTGCTTCTCAGATGTGCGCCCCAGACTTTTAAATGCATTTCCCTTTCACTTTCCCAACTTCAAGAAGTCTCCTTCTTTCTAAAAGCAGATTTGTTGCACAAGGGGAACAGAGCAAACCTAAAGTTCTGGCAGGCATTTGGATGCCTTGTGACGGCCTGGAGGCATCCCAAGTCTGAACACATTTTGGAAGTGGTGCTAAAAGTGATGTTTTTGCTGGCTGGTGGGGCAAATTCACAGCATTTTAATTCAATAAAATGTATTGTCTTACTGCAGCCTCTTTTCTTGTCTGCTTTGTTGCCCACTGGGGCCAGGCTCTCTTTAAAATGTTTTGAAGCTCCAAACATTCCCCCTACAAGGTGAGCCATGGCTCTATTTTCAGTCCTAAAGTAAATATAGCAGTAGCCTACTTAACATGTGAATAAGGGTAGCTATGCTCTTTAAACTCATCTGTAGGGTTGCATGGAGAGATAAGGCCATATTCAATGTTGCAGTTGGGAAAGGATGAGTTTAAAGGTCTCACGGCAAAGAAATCCCAAGGTCCTGCAATGCACCTTATTAGATTCTGCAAATGTGGCAATGGCAAGACCAAAACCTCCCTCAACTCCTATCTTCTCTTTTCCATGTACTCCACCTTGTGGATGCAAAGTTAACTGCAGGCAAGGAAGCCAAGTGCCGGGGAGGCTTTTACAACTGTGTTAAGATGCATTACAGTCAGACAAAATTAAAAGGAAAAACGAAAGGACACATTTTATTTTATCTGATGCCAGGAGAAATTCATTGGCTTTGGGTTTTGACTGGCAACACAAGAACAAAAAAATATTACCTGCTCAATACATTTTGGCTCATTCAAAACCAAAGTTTCTTTCCAGTTTGGTTTTGAGTGGAAAAGTGGCTTGCTCTTTTTTCAGTGGCGGCAATGAGAACTCGCGGGGCAACTTCACCGCAAACTGTCCTTGAAATAGTGAGCTGAAGGCACAGCCAGCCCAATGCATTTTGCCACCCGAGGCAGGCCACAAAAACGAAGCTTCCCTGTGTAGCAGGAACCCCCCACCCCAATCATTCAGTTTGTACAAACTTCACACACACACACACACACACACACTACATACCCTATGCTTCTGTTATAAATTCATAGAAAAATCAACCATACATCGGATTTGCACTGTTCCATTTTTATTTTATTCCATATGACAAGGACTATCAAAGGGGGGTGGCTTGGTTCTGGTCAGCCATAATCCCTTAAACGTGAGAGCATTTCCCAGTTGGCATGGCAACTCTGATAGCCGGCTTGATGGGCTCAGACAGAAGACTATCAAGGACACAACATACCTGAGTGGATTCAACACGGACTATAACAAAAGAACAGTGATTGGATTCCCCCTCAGGGGGCAGGAAACTGCGACCACCTTTTGTCTTCTGAAAATGACTCATGGGGAGGGGGAGAAGGGAACCAGCCAGGTGACAGGACACTCAGGTTACCACCACAACTCCTCCCTCAACCCCTCCTTTCTGTAATGTATGCATGATGTTTCTGGGGGTGGGCTTGACCTACAGGATGGGAATTTCAAAAGTTTTTATAAGGCCTTGCACACCATTTTTCTGTGTCTTTCCTCTCTCCTGCAAGTGAGGGGAGCACCCTGTTGCAACAGTTCAATAAAGGCCAAGCCTACAGGCTGCTGATTTGCTCCAATTTACTCTGGTTGGTGTCTTTACTTTTTGTCCAAGGGAGCCCTCAGATTTTTCCGTTAACACCTGCCAGGGAAGAAGGGTTGAGGGAAGAGTTACATCAGGAAGAAGGTGGGGGGGGGATAAAGATCAGGAACAAGGGTGGGAGACCAGCAATGCCTCCCATTAGCCAAGAGACCACTATAAACGTGACACGGTGTGGGACAGGGGTCAGCAAAGTTTACCTTGCCTGGGCCGGTTCACTCCAGCAGAGATCCCTCCGTGGGCCGGATTGTGCACGCGCCCGCAATTTCCAGCATCTGCACAAATGTGATTTTTGGCATCTGCACATGCACAGAAGCAATTTTTGGTGCAACGAAAGCAAGTCCCCGCGCTGTACTGCGCCAGTTTAGCACAGCGCACTGGGACTCACCAAGCAAGTGGCTCGGTTCAGGAGTGGCTCATGGGCCAGTTAAACGGCCCCTGTGGGCTGCTTGTGGCTCATGGGCCTTAGGTTGCCGACCCCTGGTGTGTGAGACAGACCTGGCCTCCAAGGAGCACAGGACAACTCCCATTGCCACTGCAGCAGCAGGTGATGCATTCCTTGGATCTGCTGTTTCTGAGGATCCTGCCGCCTGAGGCAGTCCTCACCTTGTCTCATGGGTCGGCTGGCCCTGGCTGAAGGGGCTGCATATAGAGGGGTTTGAAATAAAAGCAAACACTAAGCATTCCTACAACACTACTGCTGTCTAGAACTGTGGCCTCTATCTGCAGTAACCAGCATTACTCTGGGTTAGCATCTTAAGCCAATGGTCGCATGAAACTAGGGACAAATAAATCACTCTGTTACTTTTGCATGGGTTTTCTCTAAAACCCACCCCATCCTCCCATTAATATGCATTTAAAAAAAAAAATAACACAAAAAATCACATAATTTTTATACGCATTTCTCAACATAATGGGTTGCACCGTTTCTCTTCCAGTTTTTCCCCCTCCCCATTTTATCCTTTCAACAAGGTAGGCTAGGCTGAGGGACACTGATTAGCCCAAGGCTACCTAGTGAGCTTCATGGATGAGTGAGGATTCGAACCCAGGTCTCCCAGATTGTAGTCCAGTACTCTAACCATTACACCGCACCGGCACTCCTCAATTTCTTCTATACCTTTTGGCAGTTTCCCGGGGGTTTACAAATGATTGCTCAGTGCAGGTTCGCTATGCAGCATCGCACAAAATTTTAATGTGCCTTACAAATACGTTGTTGCTCAATAAGCTAACATTAAAACCATTTTATGCATGTTGTTGTTGTTTAGTCGTTTAGTCATGTCCGACTCTTCGTGACCCCATGGACCAGAGCACGCCAGGCACTTCTGTCCTCCACTGCCTCCCGCAGTTTGATCAAACTCATGCTGGTAGCTTCAAGAACACCATCCAACCATCTCATTCTCTGTCGTCCCCTTCTCCTTGTGCCCTCCATCTTTCCCAACATCAGGGTCTTTTCAATGAGTCTTCTCTTCTCATGAGGTGGCCAAAGTATTGGAGCCTCAGCTTCAGGATCTGTCCTTCCAGTGAGCACTCAGGGCTGATTTCCTTAAGAATGGAGAGGTTTGATCTTCTTGCAGTCCATGGGACTCTCAAGAGTCTCCTCCAGCACCAATTTTATGCATAACTGTAGCAAATTCAAAAATTATTGCACACATTATTTAGAAATGATGTATTATTTTAAAATACTGAAATTCCTCATAAAAGAACTTTAAGATATTTTTTTTTAAAAAAAAGAATAAAAAACCCTATGAAGATACCTGTTTAGGAATGGTAACAGTGTGGACCATCCCTAGTACTTCTCTAAGCTTATTCTCTCACAATAGACTGCATGGTTCTTCAAAATCCTTCCAAACAGCTATCAGAATTTAGGAGTTGGGGAAATCACTGTGAGATGGTTCCACTCCCATCTCTAAGGGCAATTTTAGAAAGAAGCAATGAATAACAGGATATAGCTCGGTTGGCTACAGCGTGGTAATGCCAAGGTTGCAGGTTAAATCCCCATAAAGGACAGCTGCATATTCCTGCATTGCATGGGGGTGGACTAGATGATCCTCAGGGTCCCTTCCAACTCTATAATTCTAAGAACCTCAGCCCCATGGGAGTTACCAAACAACCAAAGTCTATGTCCATAGAATGAACATTTAACACAGGGGTTCCTAACCCTGTTAGCCCAAGAGCCACACTTGGTATTGGCCTCCCCTCTGAGAACTGTGCACTAGTGTGAAACGTGACCAGAATAAAAGTGCACACACAACTTCTTCCAGATGCCTCTCTTATTGGAAGTAGGAAATTCAACAGCAAATGGGCTTTAACAGTAGCACACTGGCTATGAAACATCAAAATTGTGATTTTTTTTGGGTACCAGGCAAAAATGTTTGCTTATGCATGATTTTCAATTTGTTAGAAGTCCATTTCATAGGTTTCATTGTATTTTTGTTATGAATGAGTGCACCCCACCCTGAAATCCAAAAAGAGGGGTATAATCTTTTAAAAATAAATAAATAAAGGTTTGTATTCAAGGAGAAAGAAGATCAAACAGAAGCGCAACTTGAGATGAAATATGTGGTAGAAAAGCTACACAAACCTCTGAAGTACAAGAGACTTACTAAACCTCTACAGCAAGACTATTCACATGAAATAAGGCCAACTCCTTTTAGCAATGCAGCTAATAAAAATTTTAATATAATAAAATCAACATTTTTTAAAATGTTCACAAAGTGGGGGAAAAAATCAAAAATAAGGCAGCCATCCATGGAATGATTTCATGTGTACAAATGACTTGGAGAAAAAAAACATTAAAATTACACTTTTGTACACAGAATCAGGTATACAGCTGTGCCCACAAAGTCCGAGCTGCTCAGAAACATAACCAAAGCACAGAAAAGCTGATCTCCTTTTGAAATAGACATTCAATTTTCAAATGTCTCTGTAAGCACACCCACCCACCCAGGTCTCCTGTGGTTCATCATAAAGAGCATAAAACAACAGTACATACACAAGTTCAAGTTTTCTCCATTTGAATACAGATGGCTACAAATGCAAGCTTGCTCTGAGTGTTTTGAGTTGTTGAGCCCTCTGAGCAGCTGAATATTTTTTTTCTGCTGTTTCAAATTATCATTTTCAGTTATCCTGAGAAGTTTCCTTCCACCATTTGGAGATTCGGTGTTCCCTTGATATGTCTGCTCTGCTGTTCTCTTAGCTGTTATACAACAAGTTTAACTCAGGCAAGAGATCATCCCTGTTTTGTGAATGAAAGCAGGATAGCCAATTAAATGACCAAACAATGTTGCACACAGATAGAGCTCATCTTATACTGATTTCCACTTAAACTGATTTCCACTTTCAACGCAGTCCAAAACTGACATGAATAATGGAAGTACATGAATTTGTAAGTAGTTACAAATAATAAATCCCTTTATCCTCAGCAGTCTATGGCTCCTAGGAGTCTACTGTGAAGCCTAGATTGGAATTTGTATTTTACTACTAAGAACTAAGAGCAGAACTAGACTACAAAGCCCTCATTTCAAGTGAAGATTGAAATAAATCCACATTTACCATGACCAGTCTGGAAGATTCTTTAAAGTTAGGATTCTCACAGATACAAGAGATGAAACATCTGGTTGCTGTTAATAATGTAAATATTCCCCTCTCTTTGCTACCTACTTTTCTTGTGGTAGTTAGCAGATGAAGCAACTAGACACCCTCATCGCCAGAGTGGAAAATCAGGTTGCTTCTGGCAACATTCTAACCTCAAGATCTTGACACACTGCCTCTATGACTTATCGCTCTTAAATTGATGCACACAGTATAATTCTACAGTGTGAGAGGTATACAGTATAATTCTAGATCCTGTCGCAAATGCTCTAGACGCAGCCCTAAGTCCAATGAAGGCATCCTACCAGTGGCATAATGGGCCAAAACTTAGCGAACAGGGATGGCAGAACTGGCAGGCCTTGTTTTCATAAATACAAAGTGATCCAATATAGGCAGGTACTGGCCACTTTCCAAAATGTAATGAGCAGCTAAAGGCAACTCTGGCCAACAGCAGGATTTTCAAGATCCCAGAATCACAACGCTGACTCCCAAATATTAAATATACTAGGAAAAATTGTTCTAAGTGTGGTTCAATTCCCATTCCTACACCCATTGCTTCTATGTCAGATAGTTTGCCGTTTACCCACAAGTTCCCATTTTTGCGGTTTTCCTCTCTGCCAGCTCAGGAACAGCTTTCTCATCATCTTGCCCACCACAGTAGGCCAAATCGAGCCTTTAATTATACTTGTGCCCAACTTACCTTTGGTCATCAATGTTGAAGATGTGACATGCACATCTTGGTTCACATATCACGTGTCCGTACCTTTTCTTTTTTACAAGATTTAAGAGTATTTCTCTTTTCAACATAGAGAAGAGATTCTTCTTCAAAAGAGACTCTTGATCAGTACAAAAGCATTTTTACTTTTTTAAAGCAGGCCTATATATCCCGTGTTGCACAAACCCAGCAGCTGTGGGTTCTTAGAGTCCCAGGCAGGCAAAAAGCAACAACAGGTGTTTTATTCAAGCTTCTAGTGGATCCCCTTATGTAGTTGGGTACGCTACACCTGGTAGAATGGATTACACTGAGGAGGCCTGCTGAGGTCTTTTAAAGTAGATCAATAATAAGCCTTCAGGAAAGACGATACATACAATATTGATTCTGTGTGGATTTTTCACTTACATTTTTAATGTTAAATGCCCCCATATATTTTTTTTTAAAAAAAGATTCCTGGTGAAATCTTGATCTTGACTGTCACTGCTGTACCAATGCCAAACAATACCAGCAAGCAAGAATCACCCATTAAAACAAAACCTTCATGAGGAATCATACCAGTATACTATGCCAAACAACTACAGGATGTGAAGAAGGCATGGAAGAGATCAGAATTGTAAGAGCTACTGGGCTGTGAAAAGATGGGGAAACATTTGTCACGTAGAATAACCAGTGTTACAAAAAACTGCTAATTCATCTTCTTGTTTTGTGTGTGTGTTTTAAGGTAAAATGACCATTAACTGAAGAACAATGGAGGTGAAGGTTTCAAATTGAAGTAAAAATTGTGCACCAAGAATGTACATAAAGTTTCAGATATTTTAGGATTCTCCCTATGACTCTTACAGTTTCTTTCACAATGAAGTTAAGTTTATAGGCCAAAAGGAAGGCTCTTCTCCATGGAAAGGCACTGCATTTCAGAATTGCAGTTACACTCGATGTTGATTGAAATATTTCGGATTGAAATATTTCAGAATCAGATTTCAGAAAGAAAGGGAGGCTCAATTCAGACAGGCTCACAATTTAGAATGTTTCTTGTTTGTAATAACAAGAAATGTTAAGGTCTTTGCTTCTGTATAGGTAAATACTTTGGGCACCCTTCACTCTTAATGAACAGTGCTTACCTTAGTCTATTTTAGCAGAATAAGCCTTTGTAGATGTGCACAGTGTCCATTTCAATAAGCACATACCCCTCTGCGCTCAGAACCACCTAATTTTCAGCCCAATGTGACTCCTTGATTCTACCATATAGATGATAACACTCAAGGGACACAATAGATGTGCTTCCTAGTAATGCAATATATAAAATCCTATCAAGCTGTTTAACTTGTACAGATCTTTTCTAGGACTTTATCCCGTTGATGTTTCTTCACCAGATGCATCTCCCAAGATAGTTATGCCATCATTATCACATGAAAAATCTTGGAGGTGAAAACTAGTCCCAGATGTCAGAAGGCAGCATCCAATGTCAAGAGGTCAGCTGTGAATGCTGACATATGGAATACTTTTGATTATGCTTTCATGATGAGCCACAAAGTCCTTCCCAAATCATCTGCCATAGAATCTCTAAATTCCAACTTCCCTGAGAATAGGGCAGGAAGTCATAATTAAAACATCTTCAGAAAAGGGAAGTAATGCAGAATTTATATCCGGCTGTCGAGAGTATCATCTCCTATGCTAACAAGCTTTCCCAGAAATCCTCCTTTGCGTCTCTCTGACTCCTTAAAAGAGATGGGGTGGTTAACAGGGTAAGAGAGAGAATGATAAAAGGGCAGCTTGACACACCAGATTGCTGCTCACATCAGAGACTGAGGAGAAGATTGCTGCACTTCAGACCTTTAATGCTGGTGTCCAATGGACAGAATCAGAGGAATCAGGCAGCCGAGAACTAATGCTGCCACCTCCAGGCGACTGAGTCCTTTGCCTCCAGTAGAGTCAGGTTTGTGGCTATGTCCCATTCCGCCCACTTCAGGGAGAACGTGAACTGTGGCAACATAAAGAAAAGTTCCAGCAGAGAAAAGCATGGCGACTCCAGTGGCATTGACGTCTGAAAGTGCTTGTTTGCTGCTCTGTAAAAGAAGAGGGTGGCAAGGGAGAGAAAACACAGAGTTGATCTGTCTTTAATAATGCTTGTAACTTATTCCAGGGAAGAAGTCAACTCTGAAGAAATGTTAATGTTGACCTAAAAGGATTTCTGCAATCAAAAAATCAAGCTACCTTTACAGCTATCTTCCCTCATTGCCCCCCTAAAGATTATTATCTTTAATGCACATGCACTAGTCATTGCAAAAACAGAATGCCTACAGATGGTTAACATAATATTGATTATGAAATCATAATTTCCCCCCTGTAAGGGTGGTGGGCCCACTCAGATGGCCTGCACTCAGAGACTGATGGAAACTGATGTGTTCCTGAACGCTCTGGGGGATTTTCCAGTGGAGAAAGCTAAGGATTCTTGATCTTGCTATGGAATTGTGCAATGAAACGTGTGGTTGACACAAACATTCCCATGCGTCCTTTCTGGCATTGTGGAGCCCAAGCAGCCCTTTGGTATTCTGAGATGCTCTAGGCTACAGAACAAGTTGGATGAAGACCTGAGTGCAAATGGCTCAAGCCCTGCTGTGAAGTTGACCAAACACGTAATTATGCCTACCATGTGGCAGTGCGAGCTGCAAAAAAGCTCATTTTGCAGCTCGCATTGCATCCTCTTGCAGTCGGTAGCAGTTATTTGGGACAGTCTGGAAGTTACTGACTCCCTGGTGTGGGAGGGACCTCTTTCAAAGACCTACTGTGACTAACTGGTTACACACTTTGAGGATAATGTTGCTTGACTTTGAAGTGATCTTTATTCTGCACTTGTTGCACTCTACTCAAACACTTCAGTATATGGAATTAGTGCTGTTACAGGTGCCACATACTACCTCTTCTGTATTTAGTGTGGCAGCACACACACTTTGGGACTGACACCCTGCCTACTGACACCAGGCAGCTGACACCACGCAGGCTTGCCCTTTTTTCAGCTTCTGCTAAAAATATTTTTGTTCAAACAGCCTACCCAGATATGTCATCTATATAGTATGTTGATGTGTGTTTTAACTGGTTTTTAGTTTACTGCTGATTTTATTTTATTCAATGTTTTGAATAGTGGTTTTTACTGACAAGTTTATTGCTTTATAATCTTTGTAAACCACTTTGAGGGTGTTTGTTTGTTTGTTTGTTTGTTTTTTACAATCAAACAATGTATAAATTTTATGAAATAAATAGCCAAACAATGGTTTTCATTCAAAGCATGTCTGCACAAGGAACCATTAACAAAGTTGGATCCAGACATGCTCTTCTGTGGGTAAAGGGCTCCTGCCAGTTGCAGAAGGGACTCTAATCCCGTGGGGGGTACTTGCTGGGGGTGGGGGCAGTTAATTTCTACCCAATCATCCTTAAATTACCATTTCCCATACTGTTCTAGACGGTTATCCTGTTATGAATGACATGCTTTGAATGAGCCACAAGATTGGCTGAAGACCATCACCCAAATTGGATGCTGTTAATGAACTATTTCTGAACTGTGTTGATCAAAGATGGGATGTTCATGTTCTGGCAAAAAGTACCACACCTGCAAGGAAGCGTGAAAGGCCAGCCATGCAATGCTAGTTACAAACAATGAGTATTGTACTGTGCCAGAAGTTACAGAAGATCAAGTACAAATAATAAGTATTACAATGTGCCAAGAACATGCTAAGGACTGCCAGGAACATTCACTCAGGAATATGAGATTCAGATGCACAACGAGAAGAGCATATAAGATTAGACCGTCTTGGACTAAGCTGTGTGCCGGACTGGGATCCTGAAGTCTGCCACCCATAACTCTTACTAGAACTTGATCACTTCTGGCGAAGAGAGAGTTGAGTGTGTATGCATGTGTGGGTGTTTGACTGAGTGCATGTTCCCTCATCTTGTTATATGTCATGTTTGTTAATCAATAAAGCAATTTTATAGAATCATTCCAATACGTATTGGTTGTCTGACTGCTTACTTGCCCTCTCTCTCTAGAGCTTACTGAATCTCATTTATGCTAAACATCTAAACAGATAAAAGAACCTAGTTTATTCTTAACCCCCCCCATCAACTTTTCAGGAGGCAAAAAGGAAAGGCGGAATCAGCAGAAATTGTTTCCACTCTACCTTTCTTCACAAGGGCATTCCCTTCATTCCATATAAGATCCATTATGTTTTTAGTTACTGTGCAATTGTCTAGCTGCAGTTTTTAAAAAATACCAGTCATGCAGACATACTGCTATTTTTTCAGCTGTAAGACTAACTGGATGGTAGTGTGTTAAGTGGCTCACAAATAAAAGTGACAAAAGGAGTAGATAGAGCACTTCTGAAGAGTTGATTAAACACTGGCCATGCTCCTCAGCTATTAATCAGTATTCTGGAAAGTTAGACCTGAAATATTTACCTTGCTTAGTCCCAAATAAGTCACCATTGACAGAACAGGGGCTGCAAGTGCAAAAACCAGCAAGTGCTTCCTGATTCGATTCCGTTCAAGACCAGCGTGCATTAGAAAGGAAACAAGACCAAAAGCAGCTGGTGCCTACAAGAGAAAAAACAGTCAACAAAACTCTTACTTACCAAATACAAAAGAAAGTGACACCCCTCTTTCTGCTCATGTGAAATTCAGTGTTCAGCTAGCCACACTGCTACTAGCCTGTAGCCATGCTGTGTGTAGCTTTCTATGCATTTATGGTTATTCTGAGCATGAGGTTTGAAGCGGTTCATTATTACTTATTAGATTTACAAACTGCCTTTCAAAAAGCATGCTATTAGCACTTCACAGCTCAAAGGTTTGCATAATCATCAAAATCACATTAAGTAGGCTATAAATGGTCTTTTCCACCTTCATTTTTATATTTATTAACGTCAAAGCAGCATCAATCACAAGTTTCTGCTGGAAAATGCACTTCTATTCCTAACTTACCAACAAGGAAGTTTCACTATGTGACCTGGAGTACAGTGGGGAGATTCTCAACTCATAGATTTAGAACCTTCTAGCATGACCTCCCTTTTCTGCTTTTTAAAATAAGCTAAAATGACTCTTTCCTCACAGGGAAAGGACTCTGATTTCAACCTTTTATCACTCCTTTCCCATCCTAGGCTATCAGAAAGATGTCAGATACCACACACTTAAATGCATATCTTTACTACTAGGATGCAATATATAATTGTATGCCAACTAAAGAAAAAATAAGAAAATGTGTGGATGTCTTAAGACACAGTTTATTGAATCTAAATTTATACAACCAGAGAGAATTTCTGTTACAATTTCAAATTCGTAACAGCTGATAGTGAAATATATAGATTATTGCATTGTGTTATACATGGGACTTCCTCTGAAGATGGTTCAGAAATTTCGGCTGGTGCAGAATTCAGTGGCGGGTTGCTCTCCAGGACAAGATCGCTTCAGCACAGAGTGCCAATCCTGGTCCGATTGCACTAGCTGCCAATTAGTTTCTGGGCCCAATTCAAAGTGCTGGTTTTGAAGGAAAACCTTAAATGGCTCAGGACCTTTTCTTGCCATATGATCAGATCTGGACCTTGTGCTCATCATCTGAGGCCTCTTCCATGAGAGGTCCAGAGGGCAGCAAAATGAGAACGGGCCCTTTCTGTGGTGGCTCCGTTGTAGGATGCTCTCCCCAGGGAGGCTTGCCTGGTATCTTCATTATCTATCTTTAGGCACCAGGCAAAAACAACTTTTCTCCCAGGCCTTTGGCTAATGAGCCAATCTATGGCCTTTTAAACTGTGGCGGGTATTGTTTTTGTTTGTTACTATCTTACACATTTTTGTGTTGTAAATTGCCCTGTGATGCTCAGATGAAAGGTGCTCTAGAACTGTAATAAATTTAACAAGCAAACAAGAAATATGTAAAGGTTTGAGACTCAAAACTTACCTTATGTAACATAATCGCAACAAACACTATTAGCTGGACACTGGTCTGAGATGTGGAAGCAGCCGCACCCAAGGCAACACCATCAGCTTAATGAGGATGGAAAAAAACCAAACCACACAAAAGTGAACTCACCCACTGATCAAAGGCTTACTGGGACCAATTTATGCAAGGAACAAGCGTACCAACACACCTCTTATTCCACTCCAGAGACCTGAACCAGAAGCTTCCCCCACCCCTCAGAAAAAAAACTTAAATTAAAAGCAAATGTGATGCTTCTTGCTTATGCACTGAATTGCATGTCCCCATTAGGTACATCTCCTTGAGCTTCATGACAGTCTTCTCTCTCCCAGCTCCTTCAATACAAGATAATGTTCAGTTAGCCTGGAGCTGGCTATAGCAAGCATGATGCAAAGGACTAATTACTTGTGTCACATTTAGCAAAGCAACCCTAATTCTAACCCAGGTGACTTGACAATATATGAAGGTCTTTGGCATTATGCAGAAATGAAAAACAGTAACCTACCTGCAGCATGAACAACTAGTCCCAGTGTGGTAGTAATTTTGGAATTGCCCGACCTTGCTGCTTCTGGGTCTGAAATAATAAAGGAATCTTAAGCAAATAAGATACAAATAAGCAGGAAGAGACCCCTAAAGGAAAATATTACAGGCATTAAGGCACAACCTTTCAACTGCAACCAAACTACAACTTCTTAAAAGGTCGCCTGTTTCTTTATTTCAGATTATGTTTAGAATTAAGGGAAGGTGGAATATTCCAAAAAGTTTTGAGAGACATTAAACTTCAGTTTTCCTATTGCCCATTCTATTCTTGCTTTTATGTGATGGGTCTGTTTGCTGCAACTGGCCCTGGATATATATTAATTGCTGCTTGTTGTTTCTAGTATTTTATCTATGGATTTTTAAATCAATTTTCTGTGTTTCATTGGACTGTTTCATATACTTTTTGTTATTTGTTTGTTTAGCATTTCCTGAAAAGTGGGATATAAATTTATTAAAATAAATAAAATACAAGTAGCTGCATTTTCACTGATTGCTATTATTTCCTGAATTAAGACCGCATTTACCCAGTACTTTAAAACTAAGCTGTCATACTGTGTACTTTTTTGTTTAACTGTAAAAATCTGGCATATTATGAAACATTTTCTTTACATCAGTGAGTGTATAACAAATTGTTTTACTTAAGAGTGAATACCAGAATATTCATTCAGTTACTTGAATATTTCAAGGCCCTCGTCATTTATTCTGGTTATGTGTCCATAAAAGTTAAGACTTACCATCTGTAGCGTGGACATGAGAACTGCCAATCTGATCTACCAGAAGCATAAAGACAAACCCAAGGACCAGGGAAACACCAATATAAGCATGTAACCTTGAATGGTCATGGCTGTGGACATGGTCATGTACTACGGGCACATCTGCTGCTTTTTCTGATTCAACCATCTTTTGAGTCTCGCTAGCTGGGTGGTGCTTTGCTAGAAGAAACAAAAACAGGACAATCTGGAGTTATAACACAGAAGCCTCAAACGTTACATTCCCAACTTATTTTTAATTGTCAAAGTTGGTAAACAATTTGTTGCCCTACTAGTCCCAAAGCACTCTTTCCTGCTTTTGGAAATAGAATATTGCAATGATAACCAAATTCTCTATAGCATATGAGGTAATCAGGATAGCTATGTGGTGTTCTTTATATCCCAGGAAGAGATTGTTATATGTCCAGGGAGCCTTTCTCAACCTTGGGTTCCCAGATGTTGTTGGATTACAACTCCCATCTTCCCTAACCACTGGCTCTACTAGCTAGGGATGATGGGAGTTGTAGTCCAACAACATCTGGGGACCCTAGGTTGAAAAAGGCTGCCCCAGGATGTAACACCAACATGGCTCAGTCATCCGCCTCCCCAGCTCTCTGAGCTGCATCACATTTTCCAGATGGAAAGAGTTAGTAAACAGAAAGAGGAGACAGTTAAGGAGATGGGGAATGAGCAACAAAGAGGACAGTGAATATATTCTTATTCACCCTTATTTGCAGGGTGGATGTATCTGTTTCCAAATGATTAACAATTGGAAAGTGAAGCATTCATCTAAGGCAAAGGTACCCTATTAGCGGAATGCCAAAAACTTTATTAGGGTAATTTCTTTATTAGGCCAACTCAAATGTTGCAAAATGGTGTGCAAGGTTTTGAGTTCTCCAGATGGCTTGGGTGGGGTTTGGCGAGGCTGTCTGATGAAAAAACCATCTGTATCTATATCTGGTAAGAGTCTAAAAATGAGATGTAGAAGGAGGCAGCAGACATTCAAAATACTCTTTTATGTGTAACACAGGCTTCAGGTTGCACCAAGGCACTTTAGGAAGGCAAGACACATAATGCTCAACTCCTCATCTCTGAAAATACAAACACCAGCTGTTACACAGTTCTGTCTCCATCCTTAGACAAAACAGACAGGTTCCTTCGAATAAAGAGAAACTATGCAGTCTTTATGCTAGCAAAGGTAAAGATTTTTAGGTGTATTTAAGATCCTCTTGCTCCACTTTGGGGTCCTGCTGTTGTACAGCTAAGCTATGGTTTAATGTGAATGAGCAGCATGGTGATGCACACTGCTCAAACGTTCTTCACAAATCAAACAAGTCAGATGCTGGCTTGTCCTGTTATCCAAACCCAAACTTGTGGTTTGTTCCTCCCCTCTCCACAACAAATTATAAGCCCAGGTTCAGATGAGACAAGTCAGAATCTGGCTCGTTTCATCTTCTGCATGGCAGGAGGGAGCAGCACCAAAGGAATTCTTGAGAAGAGTGCAGCAGCAGGATGCTAATTTACATTAAACTATAGTTTGTTTAAAATTATGATTTAAATGAGATGTGCAAAGAAGGCTGGTTCTCTCAGCCTAACACCTTAATCTTATGGTTGTAAGTTGTTTTAAATTGTTGTTAATATTGTTTCCTGTCCTGGGACCTTAAGGTAAAGGGCAGATAAAATAAATAAATTAGCAGCAGCAGCAGCAGCAGCAGCAACAACACCACACTGTGAGGTACAGTCTTCTCAAAGGAAGGGTAGGATTAAAATCTAATAAGCACATAGAACTGTCCAGAATTTTACCTATTTTTCACATTATAATCTTTGAATCCCCATGGTATATCACAAGCTGCTTTTGAAAGCCCCCTCCATTTCAAAAACCGACTGCCATGTGGCAAGGAGTGCTGTTAGTCAAGAAAAACAAATCAAAATTCCTCCTTGGGCTCACAGAAGTAAGTTTCAAAGTTATCCAGATCCTGGTTATGATCTTTAATCTATTTTGGACCTTTAATTATGATGGAAATAGAAAGCTTAAAATTGTTCTACAACTGTTACAATTCAAAATACCTCATGGTCTATAAAGACCACAACTTGGGACTGCAAATAAACTACAAGTTTCTCTTCTGTAGTAACCAGTGCTTGAATTTTTAATCATAGAATCTTAGATAAATAAAATTCAGAATGAATATTTCATAAAAACCAAAGAGACCCCAAAGGTCATCTAGTCCAACCCTCTGCAATGCAGGAATCTCAGCTAAAGCATCCATGACAGATGGCCATCCAACCTCTGTTTAAAACCTCCAAGGAAGGAGAGTCCACCACCTCTCATGGGAGGTTCCACTGCTGAACAGCTCTTACCGTCAGAAAGTTTTTTGAATGTTTAGTCGGAATCTCCTTTCTTGCATCTTGAAGCCACTGGTTCGAGTCCTACCCTCCAGAGCAGGAGAAAACAAGCATGCTCCCTCCTCCATGTGACAGCTCTTAAGATATTTGAAGACGATTATCGTATCTCTTCTCAATCTCCTCTTTTCCAGGCTAAACATATCCAGCTCCTTCAAACGCTCCTCATAAGGCTTAGTTTCCAGACCCTTGATCATCTTGGTTGCCCTCCTCTGTACACGTTCCAGCTTGTCAACATCGTTCTTACACTGTGGTGCCCATAACTGGACACAGTATTCCAGGTGTGGTCTGACCACAGTACACAGTGGTACTATTACTTCCCCTGATCTGGACACTATACTTCTGTTGATGCAGCCTAGAATAGCATTAGCTTGTTTTACTGCTGAATCACACTGTTGACTCATGTTAAGCTTGTGGTCCACCAAGACCCCTAGATCCTTTTCACATGTTCTGCTAGTAAGCCAGAGGTCCTCCATCCTCTATTTGTGCATCTGGTTCTTCCTGCCTAAGTGCAAAACCTTACATGTGTCCCAATCTGTTAAGGTCATTTTGAATTCTGATGCTCTCTTCTGTGGCATTAGCTACCCTTCCCAGTTTGGTGTCATCTGCAAATTTGATGAGCATCCCCTCAATTCCTTCATCCAAGTTGTTTATAAAGACGTTGAACAACAACGGGCCCAGGACAGAACCCTGCGGCACCCCATTTGTCACTTTTTTCCAGGATGATGAGGAACCATTAATGAGTACTCTTTGGGTTCGGTCAGTCAACCAGCTACTAGTGCACCTAACAGTTACCTCGTTTAACCCACATACTCTGCACCAGAATAATAGTGTTGTTTTCTCACCCTCCAGGATATCTTCATAAAGTGCATGTACTCCTTCAGGCACAATGACAGCCAAGGCAGTTCCACAAAGAAGTCCAGCACCAAGGACTGTGACCAGCTTCAATCTTTCCTGCAAGTAAAATTCAGAATGAATATTTCATAAGAACCAAAATTATGACACACAAATAATTTTTGGATAGATATTGTTTGCTCAAATATACACCTGAGCTCTTGATATTAGAATTGGGAGAGGGGAACAGAAACTTGTTTTGGTGCTAGCCAGATGTGGCACTTCAAGCGTCTTGCCTGCCCACTGACAACCCCAACCTTAAACTCTGGAGCTGGAGAATAAGTCTGGGGCTTTTTTGTGATGGGCAGTGGTGGCACTTTACACACCTTACCACAAAAATGGCTATCCCAACTTTTGTTTGTAGCTTGGAGCAGCATAGCAGCAGGATGGATCATTGTAATGTGCCTTCTGAAACACAGTACAATTGCAGTGTCACTTCTTGCCAGCTCTAAGCTAGAAAGCAAGGGTGGGTCTCCTCTCATTGCCTTTCATCTTGGCAAAACAGGAAAGCAAAAATGCAAATAACTGTTTAAAAAAGAGAAACCGAATAGTGCAATTCTGAATACATGTATTTGAACTGGCATTTTACCAAGGACTGATTCACACAGCTATCTACAGAAACCCTACAAATCTCCAAAATCTAATGTGGGCATACACTGCAGGAAGCGATAGTCGATCAAGAGGTCTCTGGACCACATACACATAACAAATGTGCAGTGCTTTAAAAACCCATTTTGAGAATTTCCAATATGAGCACCACTTAATATTAATGTATTACACTGCCCTAGCTTGCTTAAGCAAGTTGGTAGAAGGGCTCCTTCTGTTTGCATAAGGGACTGAGATCCAGAGGAGGCTTCCAGCAGTGGAATTAGGAACTGAACAAACCAGGCTTTTATTTAACCAGCCATGTAGAAAAATGTAGTATCATCTTCCAAATACATAGCTCCTCAGCCACTGTGGCCCAAAGGTACAGTACATCCAAGATTTCTGGAAAAACTTGCAATTAGCTTGCAATAAGCTGAAAAGGTGCCATTCACTACAAAAGTTACACAACTAAGGAAGCTGCCTACTCCAACTACTTGTTCTAAACCAGCAATATTTTCAAATTACTTGTTATAGCTCAGCACTTTACAGTCAATTCTCCCAAAGAGAAAAATCATAGTACAGTAAAAAGTATTCAAAAGCAACCGTGCCATTCATGTTTCTCACAATAAAGTAGTTGCCGCATATTATAGAAATCTTTTCTAATAGTGTTATTTAGCATATATGCTTCCTTTAAATATGATGCCATTTCTTAAGAAATGAAAGCCCATATAAGAACTCAAGTACTGCCTTTAATACATGAAACATCGGGTGATTGTTTGTCTTGTACATTTAACCTTTAGCATCAAATTTCACCCCCCCCCCAAAAAAACGCACACACCATGGAAGCTTCAAAAAGTATTTTTCAGAAAGTTTTTATCACAACACAACCCTAGTGCTATGCATGCAAATTTTTTTTACATATAAGATCAGAAGAATCAGAGATACTCTGTCAAATGGACAGATGTGAGGCAACAGGTAGAGGTTATGGAAAAAAGTTTCCTTGTTCAAGTTTGAGTTACCAGTAAAGGACAATAACAAAGTGATAAAAAATATATCAACATTTTTAGTATAAAGAATACCGAGTTCTCAGTAATTTGGATTTCACAAGACATTTCTGCAAGCTATACAAACCAAGCCACACAATACAAATGTTAAAGCTACTTACCTTTACCAACATTTGCACCACACACACCCTTAGCAGAGGGAGTTAAAGATCAGAGGGAACTTAGTCAAGTAAAAATTACAGTTAATCACAGAGAGAACTCAAAACGCTGCTTTTGCTTTTTTAAAACCTCCAATTTTTGCCACCTCTTCTTCCCCCCTAGTCATCGCAGAGCACGGAAATCGTGACGTTTGGATCATGGGTAGCTGGGACGTGTACCCTATTTCAAAAGGTGGGCTAAGTTTGCAGGTTAGGCTTTCGTTTACCCAGAGCATTTATTAAGTTGCTTTCTCTCAATGTTTCTCATTTGCTGCCTCACCCTTTTTGAAAAAGCAGGCGGTTCTGTCTGTCTGTCTGTCTCTCACACACACATACACCGGACGAACTCGCTCCTGCGCGTCTCCGTTACAAAAGCGGACGGACAGTTACGCGGGAGCCTCCTCCTTACCTCGGAAAAGTTCACCGCTAAAGGGATGATCCCGGCCACGTAGCAGCCAACCAGCATAGCCAGGGAGAGCAAGCTGATCGACAAGAAGTCATCCATGGCCGGCTTCTGCTCCTCGGCCGAGCTGCTCGCAGGGGCTCCGACTCACGAGAGGATTCGCCTTCCCGGCTGCGGAAGGGGAGCCAGCCTCAGGGGTCGCATGAAGCAGCGAGCGGGACAGCGGCGCCTCCTCCCGCGCCCGCAACAGGCCGAGACCCCGCGAGACACCTGCGCGCCTGGGACGCCGCAAACTCCCCCCGAGGCCCCGTCCGCCCGCTGCCTCCGCGGAGAGGCTCGGAGGCCCCGAACCAACCCCTGGAGGCTGCCTCCCGTCCCTCGGACCCGCAGCTCGAAGGACAGGCGCCCTTGCGGTGCACGCGGAGAGACAGGCAGGCCGGCTCCCGTCACGCAGAGCGAGAAAGCTACAAGGGAGCCCGAGAAACGGCCTGTGCCTCAGCCTCCCGCCACCATCCCTGCCGCCAGCATATGCCCAGCTCCCTCAGCTGTTGCCATGAAGGCCAAGTGGCAGCTCCTCACTCGACTTCCTCTTCCCTCACTCGACTTCCGGGACACTTGGCAGTTGAAAGGAGGCCCGTTGACCAAGCGACGCTGCATTTGACTCCCTCGTCTTCCCTGCCCAATTTTAAGATGGCGGAGAAAGGGAAGGAGGGCTGGGCATTGTAACGGGCGGCCATGCGTTGTTGTCTTTTTTGCCAGGAATGAGACGGCCGAGCGAGCCCTCACTAAAGATGGCCGCTTTCTGAGTTCTTGCAAAACTTCCGTCTCCCGCGCGGAGAGAACTGACGGCGAGCCACAGTCTCGCGAGACTTTCGTTATGTACCCGAACGAGAGGCGAATCATGTCTATGGCACTATGAAGGTGCTGGTGGGTGTGAGGTAGTGCTTCCGGTGGTCGCGGTGCATTGTGGTCGAGAAGACGTTGAGAGTTTTGTGCTTCGCGCCTGAGCCGAACGGAACGAGTCGCCATGGTGAGTTAAGGCAGAGAAGCTGCCCTCTCGTCTCCATCAGGCGGGAGCGCGGATGGGTTTGGTTGGAGAGCGTGGAGGAGAGGGAGGCGCTCCGCGTGGCGTCTCCCGGCGCGCTCATCCCCTGCTTCGGGCCTAAAATGGCCATGGCCCCGCAGTAGGGTCCGTTAGGCGGCTGCTGGGCTGCCGCCATATGAAGTGCCTGCTTTCTCTTGAAGGCTCCCGTAGCATCTCAGGAAGAACAGCCGCAGTTCACCCCCACTCCAAAAAGTTGCTCAAACAAATTCGAGCTAATAATGCATAAAGGCGTGCTTTGCTTTCCATTATGCCTCGAGTTGGTGCGTGGAGATAGCAGTGCATGTTTTGGAGTTCTCATTTTTTTTACTTTGGCGTGCTTTCTATGATAAAAAGCAAACTCAGTAAATCGGGCAAATCAGGCTATGAATCACAACAAGCAATCCTAACAACAAAGTAAAAAGAAGCAGTGATGTTAAAAAAAATAGCTCTATAAAAACCATATCAATGTCAGGTGAGTTCTAAAACTATATTTTGAGTGAGTTGTTTTAGCTGATGACAAAGGCCCCTTAGTGCTCACATAACTTTCAAACACCAGCTTCAAGCTTGTCTCACCCGTGTTTCTTTTTATGAGGGGGTGTCTTTCTCCCACCTAACCCTTCTCCCCCAAGTCACACAGATGTCACTGCTGTGGTGGATGAGAATGAAGCTCACACTGAGATAAGTCTGTTTAAGTTGTATCATTTGAGGGTACTGGATGGAGCTTAATGTACTTTTTACAGATAAACTCCTTGCACAATTGAGAAAAAACAAGCATGCTAGGGAGAATGCAAAGCCAGAACACTAATCCCTGTATGGAGGGATTGTTTCACTCTTTGTTGTGTGAAGGAGCATTTGATCACATGAGCAGAGTCCCTACTTACAGTCTCAAGTGCCCAGGTGTGACGATGGAAGGTTCTGTTCCATTGCTGATCTTCAGGCAGAAACACCCCACCCACATGCAGCAGTAGCCACAACAGAGCCTTTCAGGGGCATGTAAGAGAAGGACATGAACTTTCAGGTTCCTGAGTATCCTATTTTCTCCAATGTGCCCACAAACTGACTGCAAAATTGCACCAGTCCTGGAGCTGGTGTAATGTATTCTCTCTCTTCCCGCCCCCATTGTTGTAAATTGGAGAGAAACCTGCAGGAGGAAAAAAGAGCCCTCCTCTCCAGCTTCCATACAAAAAAGTTCCTTGCACATAAACAAATCGTCTCTCCCCCCCCGCCCCCTTTTTAAAGATCATTCAATTCTATGTAAATGTTAACTTTCTTTTTATAGTCTCACACAATTTTGCTTGTTCAACCTACCAAACGACCAGAAGGCAGGACTTACGCTGATTATGAGTCTGTGAATGAATGCATGGAAGGTAAGTACCACTGCTCTAGATGGAAAGCCAAACAAGTACCTGCTTAGATCCTTAGGTTGGGCCAGATCAATCATTTACTGTGGGGGGCAGAAGGAATCCCAACCCAGTAAAAGTCTTGGGCTCTTGCATTATCATGGGGATACAGTAATTACTGGCCTAAGATGTACTGCATGTATTTGAAGAATTACTTTTACCAAATTATGAAGACATTTTAATGCTGCATTATTGGTAGGCTTATCCACATAAACCAAAGTCTACCTTCTTTCAAGCTGTTGTGATAGCCTATTTCCACACTGATCCCCTTTTCCTATGTTTCTTGACATCTAAGAACTTTAGCAAGCTGGAACCTTAAATGTTTCTAATATAAGTCCTGAATATTTTCTTAGGAGTCTGCAAAATGTATGAAGAGCATCTGAAGAGAATGAATCCTAACAGCCCTTCAATTACATATGATATTAGCCAGTTATTTGATTTCATTGACGACTTGGCTGACCTCAGCTGCCTTGTGTAAGTATTTTATAGCTAATTATCTGTAAAGATACATATATTGGCTTACACATGTATTCTGAGGTATACATATTTACAGTGGGATTTTTATGTTCCTCAACAGCTCTGCAAGTTTTCAACCAGTGTGTCATGGCACCCTGGGGTGCCTTGAATGATGGCCAGAGGTGCCGCAGACAACATTGGCTTCTGTACCTCTTTCTTTTCCTCCTCTGATGCCCTCTTGCGTTGCTGCCTCCCAAAGACTTGCACAGCTGTTTATTGCAGCAGCTCTGGCTACAAGCTTCACAAGGAATGGTGCCTCTGGGAGGCATCTCTTTGCGGGGGGTGAGGAGGCAGCTCAGAGACCAGGGATGGCAGCAGCAACTGCTTGGAGGACTCCCAAGGGGAGGGGAGGGGAGAGGAGGCTGAGGGAACACTCCACAAGGGAAGGTGTTTGAAAAAGCGTGAGAGGCTGCCAACTCTGCAGACACGGGGTGACCTAACTGGACTCCTGAGCTCCACACGGGTGCCGCAGAAAGAAGGTAGTTGGTCAAGGGAACTGTGAATTTGAAAAGGTTGAAAACCTCTGGTTTGATCAAATGGTGTCAAGTTGCATGGCTACTGCCAGTTAAAGCACATTGCCTGAAAATGGGAGTTGTGCCACTAACTGCTATTTATTGTAATCCTCTGGGTTCAGGGCAGGTATTTTACAGTGTAGTGTTGCAACTTCCTTCTCTGTGGCCAGAGTATCTCCTTTTTGAACCCAACCGGATGTACAGTCTCATGGCTGAGGTTGTGAACCATGAAGGGTATGGGTCTAGAAAAAAAATGTTAGGCCGCATCACTCCTTGCTTGTATGAGCATATTAGATCAGAAGTATCAATCAGTTAAATCATAGTTATTCATATTTATTTAGATTTTCTAAAGCCACCAGAGGGCATACTTTGAGCATGAAATATTTTATGTTTTTTAGCTGTAGAGGTCTAGATGGTGGTTCTGCTACTGCCCCTTCCAGTACTCCCCTATCAGTGACAAATTAAAACCATACAGACATGCTCATGGCACACAACTGAGTTCAGCACAGCCGGACATTTAGAGACCTGCTTATTAGCTTGCAGTTATTATACCTTTCATTAAGTTGAGATGCAGAGTTGGTACAGGCTTGAGATTAATATTTGTTTGAAACTTTGTTACTAGTGCTGTGTTAATGGTAACCACTGAAGGCATTGTTCCAGCATCACAAGATAATTGCATTTGGAAGCAAGTGGAGACTATTTTGGACTGGGCTTTTGGAAGCAAGCTCTTACAAATATATAAATTCCTCCAAGATACACATCAGACTTGTTCTGTGACCCTAGACATTATCACCCTTCATTTTTAGAATTGCAGGGGTGTTTATATTCTGCTTGGAAAATGGGATCCTGATAATAGGTATCTCTTCCATTTAGAAATCACTGGTTCATTCTAGAAGAGAGACCATGGCTTCACTCGCATTTTTGACCTGCTGACTTTGGCTTAGCCTCACATACTGTATTCTTTATTTACAAATACTCTGGTTCAGCAAACGGGACATGGCTGAGGTACCATTACCATTTGTATAGGGCAAATGTGAGCTCTGAAGCAGCGGGCATTGATGGGCAACGGGTGGGTGTGTGGAAACCCCTGCTGGATTGAAACTATTGAATTTTGATTCCCAGCAGACACTGTTCTAGCATCCTACTGTTGTATAAGCTGCTGTTCAAAAACGTGTGAGGTTGAGGCTGATTGGTTTTGTGACATTTAAGAAATGCATGATGAACGATATTAACTGGCCTGTTCTTTTCTCCTCACAGTTACCGTGCTGATACTCAGACATACCAGCCATACAATAAAGACTGGATAAAGGAGAAGATCTATGTCCTCCTCCGCAGACAAGCTCAACAAGCAAGCAAATAGACACCATGGTTAAGGGGGTTTTGAGGGAAGGGTTTTGACAACAGGTGTGTACAGCGTTCTGTAGTGAAAGTTTTGTATTGTAGTCCTCCTGTTCATTCTTGTTAGCCTGTATCTGAGACAAAAATCTGTTAGAATTCCCAGGGACTTTCTCAGTTTAATACTCGAAGAAAAAAGGATATGCCTTCCACAGGTCTTTTAGTTTAATTGTCTTTGCAGTTCTTCTTTCCTCACTCCCGGGATTGTTCAATTCTGCTTTACCACATTCGCTGTATGTACTCCTCTTTAGGGGGTTTTCCAATGTTATTTCTTGGAGGCAGTCACGGTGAAGAATAAAATAAATACTCTTTAGATAAATGTGTTGAGTGGTGGCTTCATAAGCCATGTAAGTTAAACATAGCCAGCTTGTGGAACTAACCACTTGAAGCTTGAATACTGATTGGCTCATGAAAGATTTTGAGTTGCTGCAATCATGATAAATCATGACAACATGCAAATATAACCAAATAGACTTGGACCCTTGGTTTGGTGCTTTGAACAGGCCTTGGTTTCCTGCCAATTATTGTTTCAACATTTACATGGTTTGGGGGTAGATCGTTATAAATTGCTGAAATTGAAATATCAGTTGCTGGCTACCAACAGCAGGAGATAGTTGCTGCTGTCACATCCTGCTTATGGACTTCCTATAAGCATCTGTTTGGCCACAAAGTGAAACAAGTTGCACAAAGTGAAACAAGTTGCTTGATAGTTCTATTCTCACACTGGTGGTGAGATCCAAGGCCTATCTGCTGCTGAGGCATTCTTTGTTGGGTTCAGGGCAGCCATTCCCAATTCGAAGATATCAAGCTACTTTTAAAATAAACCATTCCTTGATACTCGGTCTCTTTAAGTACCGTACTTTTCCGTGTATAAGATTAGGTATTTTTATTTAAAAATCATGCTAAATGTGTGGTGTTGATTGGCTCAACAACTCTGGGCAATCCTCCGCAAAAAAGTTCAACAACTCTGTGCCATCTCCCCTTCATTTTCTTAAATTTGAGTCCCCCTGTACATAGAAAATGACAGTACTTAACATTTTAGTTAGAAGAGAACTTGCACATGTTCGGTTAGCTTTCAAGATGGCAATTGGGTACATGATATCTCTACTTCCTGATTCTCACAGCTATGTATTGGCCTAACAGCACTGGAAATATTAGTGCGAATATTTTATCTCCCACCTTTTATTTCTGGCTATCAAATGCATCTCTTTTAAGAAACTTTGTTCCAATAGTTTCCAGCCCACACACTGCAACTATCAATTATTTAGAGGCTGGGCTTTCTGTTCCAGCTGAATTTGTGAGATGTTTCAATGAGAACAAATAATTTGTTTCTCTACCAGCTCAACTATTTTATGATTCAAAAAGCATCCTTGGAGCCTGGGATACTTTTGTGTGTGTAGCATAAAGTCTGAATTCATTTACGTTAACATTGCTTTGAGCATATCTTTGTGCACTGTGACTCTAGCATGCAACCATTTGGCCACTGCTAACAGAATAAGGGGCTCTTCTGGGCAATTTGAGTGCAAGGCACACATCTATACCTGCCTTCCCCAACCTGCTGCCCTGCAAATATTTTGTATGAAAGAGCCAAATAGGTTTTGGGTTTGATGGGAGTTGTTCAAAACAACTGGGGCACCATGTTGAGGAAGTCTGTTCTACATAAACTTGACATTTTGTTAGTATTAAATTGGAGAGAGACGCTGCATACAGCTTAGCAATTATGTCATATGCACAAATCTCGAGTCATAGATTATTTTCAAGCACAACAAAACCAAGATTCCATCTATTCTGGTAAATATAGTGGCACCTCTATATCCAAGTGATTTCAACCAGGAAAGAAAGTTCAATCAATATTTAGAGAACATGTAGAAGCTACTAGGATAGTCTTACATGTTAGGTGTGCACTTCTAATTACCGTATTTTTCGCCCTATAGGACGCACTTTTCCTCCTCGAAAAATGAAGGAAATGTGTGTGCGTCCTGTGGGGCGAATGCAGGCTTTCGCTAAAGCCTGGAGAGCGAGTGGGGTCGGTGCGCACCGACCCCTCTTTCCAGGCTTCAGAAAGCTATCCGCCAGGCTCCCAAGGCTTGCGGACAGCAGCCTGCAGCCCGAAACCCGGGGAGTACAGCGGAGCGTGCCCCGGGCTTCGGGCAGATATCCGCAAGCCTGGGGAGACCGGCAGGAGTTCCCGCCGGTCTCCCCATGCATTCCGAAGTTTTATCTCTCTGAGGTCGAACCTACACATATAGTGGAAAGAGGTGGTAGAATAGACTGCCACTTTCATGCTGCTCTTCAAGCGGTCAGGGGTGGGGTGTCATGCTTTCTTAAATGCTCTCCTGAATGAAAAAGCCTGCAATTAAGAGACCTAGCACAGGAGATCAATATGTACAAAAGGATTTTGGCTTACCAAACAAGCCACTGAGCAGTTTTTGCAATGTAAGCATTTTGGACTAACCATTTGCAGAGCATCTGTATCTTCAAACCTTTGAGAAGACTTAGCTGGATCTGCCCAGATAAGCAACCTGTTTTATATTGGAGGTTCTCAGACTAATATAAGGTAGACATACTTTATCTGTGAGGAATGTAATAGGAAACTATAGTGCTGCATTCAGCATAAGCAATGCTGTTCTGTTGCCTTTCAAAAGGTCTTTCCTCAACCTGAGGGTGTGTGTCATCTGTAAATGTTTCTTCCATTTTATGTGCCTTAAACATCACAAGGTAACTTCTCCCTCCCTTCCTGGTAATGTTTCTCCCCGCTTCGTAACCTTTTATTTTATTTGTATAACGGATTATTCTTCCTCTTCCCCCTTGTTTGTGATTCACTGAAGAAGTTACATTAAAAAATAGATTTGTTTTATTTTAGAGCATTAATGTGACCCCTAATGTAAATACACTAGTCAGGCAGCATATAAAATACAATTATGGAAAACGATTACAAGACAGGGTCAGCAGTTTAAAAACTCATGAAGGGTCAGATCCAGCGTGGTGAGAGAGGGATCTTCTTGCACAGTGAGGCTTCTTCATCACTTTCTCTACAGCAGCTCTCATCATGCTCCCAAAACCTGCTCTGGAGGCTTGGAAAGAAGTGAAACCAGAAGTCCCATTGATCAAGTGGGTTTCCATTGTGCAAACAGATGGACGTTAGATGTTGCCCTAATACATTGTCTGCCTCATAAGAGTCTGCCAGAATGGGAAGGTCTCCAGTAGCCATCCAAACAGCGATGGAGGGGGATTAGAGGATCTTTTAACAATAACCTGCTTATAATTTCCTGGGGGTGAGTGGAGGGAAGAGGTTAGATCGCTGCACAAGATCTTCAGAGCTGCTTGGGAGAAGAAAGCTCCAGGCCCCCTCTAGTCAAAAGAGGACCAACATTGGAGGACTTCAAGAAGGAAGTTCTCCCATCAGCTAGAAACCAGCTGTGTCTTCTACTTCTTGCTATGATGACATGAATGCAAGGTAAGTGTTGATGCTTTTATTACACCTTTCACTCAGTGCTGATCTGATTCCAGCACCTCTGCAACACAGACAATGACTCATTAAGGAGCTACTTTGAAAGGTGGACTGGAATCTACTTTTAGAGTCTTAATTAGCAGAACAGCTGCAGATCCCCTCCAACTAATCCTACAGAAAATCAAAGCTTTTCAAGTGCTTTTTTGTTTGTTTATGAATAGGTGCCGTAGCATAATAGCTATACAGCAAAATACCTATGAAAGAACTGCAAATATCTCTACTAACTGCAGCATTTGTAACAGCTGAACCATTACATTTCTTTTCCAGTACAAATCTCTGCAAAGCAATCATAGAATCCTGCAGGGAAAAGTTAAAGCAAACAAATTTCCCATCTAAAATACTTAAATGCCCAGTGTAAGGCTGAGATGCCAACAAAATCCCTGGCTGCAGCTACCATAACGGTTATGGAGCCAGATTTACAGAAGCAGACCTCAGAGTTGCAGGCTTTTATGTTCATGGCAAATAAAAAAAGCACAAAAAAGTATATATATTTTTACCATTCTTGCTTTTTTAATGAGCTCGTGACATTGATAACAACCAGTCTTCAAAGCAAATAGACATTTAGGGTTTTTTAGACAATTTTTGTGTTCACTGCAAGGATTGAGCAGGAAGCTTCGTTCAGGTATCAAAAGTTTACAATTCTGGTAAAAATTTAACTTCTGCTATCTTTTCTGATAATAATCAGGGCTATATGCAGTGCCTTTTTTTAAAAAAAAGTTTAGGGGTACTCTCATTTTCCTACTCGTATTGAAATACTGCCCCTCAATGAGGCCAAACTTAGATTCACAAAATGTTTAGGGGTCTGCATCCCCCAGAAAAAAAGCACTGGCTGTATGTAACAGGGTTTTATGAATGTCTCAGTTAAGAGCTAAGTGTTGTATGATGATGATGATGAATCTAATTTATATACTTCTCTTTGTCAAGTTAGTGGCTAGAATGTCAGACTAGGACCTGGGAGACTTCAATTCCGCACTCGGTCATGAAACCTGGGCCAGTCACTGCCTCTCAGCCTACGCAATCTCACAGGGTTGTTGTGGAGATCAAATGAGGAAGGGGAGAGCCATGTATTGGGCTGTTTGGAGAAAAAAAGTGGGATATAAATCCAATAAATGAAGACATCATTAGTAATGAAGGCTATCACTGCACTACTACCGATCTTGCGTTGTGTACATTTTATTGCTGTATCCTATCACTTCTGAATGAGAGACGCGGGTGGCGCTGTGGTCTAAACCGCTGAGTCTCTTGGGCTTGCCGATCAGGTTGGTGGTTCGAATCCCCACAATGGGGTGAGCTCCCATTGCTCAGTCCCAGCTCCTGCCAACCTAGCAGTTCGAAAGCACGCCAAAAAGTGCAAATAGATAAATAGATACCACTCCGGCAGGAAGGTAAACAACGTTTCCATGCATTGCTTTGGTTTTGCCAGAAGCGGCTTAGTCATGCTGGCCACATGACCCGGAAAAACTGTCTGCGGACAAATGCCAGCTCCCTCGGCCTGTAAAACAAGATGAGTGCCGCAACCCCAGAGTTGTCTGCGACTGGACTTAACTGTCAGTGGTCCTTTACCTTTACCTTTTTATCACTTCTGAGAGGTTGAAGAATCTCCTCATTGTTCTGCTGAAGGGCAGAAATGCTTGCCTACTTCTTTAAAGAAAACCAAAGCTATGAACATTGGGCTACCCATGTCAGATATTTTTCTTTACAAAATAAACAAATATGGTTTTGTGGTTTGTCTCAGTGCCACTTGCAAGTCTCATTCCTCTTCACTGGAGATTTGTTTAGGGTCCCCATCCCCTTTTATAAACAGCCGTACGAATTTCACACTGCTAATGCAAAATACATTGAAACAAAGTTCCCTGCAGAGCAGAAAACACCCAGCCACCCACCCACCCAAAAGAGCGCACATTATAATGACAACCTCTTAGAGCAGAGCATACTCCACTCCCTTTGATGCAAGTGGACAGGAGTAGACAGGTATGGAGTATTTTAGATTACCAGCAAAGCATTCACCTCTATGTTAATCACTGAAAATTGAGTATAGATAGAAAATTGTGGAAGTACCCAAGCACACGGTATCTCCTCTCAGCTCTGCCCACAGCAAGCCTTGCTGTCTTGTGCTTGCGGAAAAATTACAATGTAATCAGGAGCATACTTTGGAGATCACTGACGGCAAGAACTTCCACTGCCATGTTGGGATAATAGAATAGCTACTTCACCACCCATCCCAATTCAATTCAGCGTTGCAGCTTTGATAAAAATGACAGCATTAGACATTCCGCAGGCTTCTGCAATAGAAAGGGATTTCAAAGTCCACATAAGTGAATATTCACTGAGTGTCCTATTTGGCTGTGAATTTTCACTGAGTGTCCTATTTTGCTGTAATCTATTTTTTTCCTGCCTTAGATATTTGCAGCACTGCACAGGTATTGAAGGAATTTATTTGCATCTTACATCTGTGGAATTAGGTTATTCTTTGGCTTTGCATATTATGAGAAGTGATCCTTTTATTATGTCCTCTTAATAAGCATTTCATCTCCTCTGCGGTTTCAAAATTGAAAATCACTAAAGCTAAAGAAAAACCCCATCTGGAGATATTACAAGGAACGTCTGCAATTAGTTCCTTCTAATTACTGTAATCTGAACTATGCTTGTGCAAAGAGCTTAGCTAGCTGGGTTGCGGGCAATTTTCCAATTTATACTATTGCTTTCTTCTTCCTAGTAAGCCTCAGTTTGAGTCTGACATATGCACGGATAACAAACTAGGCTCCATATCCCAGTGCACTGCCACGGCTTCTTGAGTATCAGCAGGAGTCTAACTGGCAATTTCGAGTTTCTTCATATGTGGGATGATCTTGTTTTCTACCCCCTGTTGTGTCCTCTTATAATCCAGCCTTGCTGAAAATGTTTACCAACCCA